CATCTGATTACAATTCCATTAGACATCAAGTTTTATCAGAACCATAAATAATGAATCAACCATATACGATAAGAACTGTAGATGGATTAGACGTTCTAATGGTATCATATTCCAGTCATGACCCATGAGGCAACCGCAACGGGAAGTGACAACTTGGCCGTGGGTCCAAAAATATCTGTATGTTTTCGAAATAGAACTTTGCACATATGTGCACCAGTTCAAGTCGCCACACTCTCTCATTGTAGCACATAAAGCGAGAGAAGAAAGTAGAAAAAATGCATAATAGAGACAGTAAACAGAGGTGTGAGACAAAGGAATAGTAATAATGAAAAACAATACAGTTTCATTGGAATTCATAAGTCACAAGGAGTCGATGCATCTGCGCTAGCCATTGAGAACGATTTTGAGCCACATCACCAATTGTTTCCAGCCATTATTTGGTTTTAACCATCCTGAGGACCCCAACCAGTCAGGAAGTCTACACCTTCCTACATGGCTGGCTGGCTTAAACTAACTGTTGTAGATTTCATTGACTGATGAAACCATGTTTTGGTTTGACCGCCGCTAGCTCTCTCTTTTCCAGCCTGACCCTATGTCAGCTAACGTTTCCCGTCGAGGAAGACTACGCATACGTAACACATGTCTTAACCATCTCAGTCGATGTAGCTTCACAGCCTCGTCGATTGATTTCCCCTGTTTAACTAGCACTCGACGCTTAACCTCAATATTGCTCACCTCAATATACCACTTCACACAGAAGATAGAGTGCAGGCCCCTGTGATCGAAAACAGCTCATCTTTTCATGTCTTCTACTTCCAAAAATGATATAAAGGCGATCATCACATGTAAGAGGAAATGTAGGCATAGCAATCATGGATCTAGTTGAACAAAAATGTCCAAAACCCTATGTTCCTTCCATTCAGAAGGCAATAGAATGAATAAGAATAATGAAAACTTCGTGGATATTATATAACAAAGTATTTCTCCTTCTTTTTTTATTTATTAAACATGTTATAAACTTACAAAAAAGTTTAAATAAAATAAAATAAGCTCTAAGCTAAAGCGCGCAACAAACCATGTACAACAAACATGTACACATTAAGATAAATATTATGGGAGGGAGGGGGGGGTTAAATAAGGGCAATTTAGTTGGAAATATTTTAGAGAAAAGCATAGTAGAGACATGGAATCTCATCTCAATACACAAACTTGCACATGTATTCATTTATTATATATAAATAAATAACCGTAGTAATACTAAAATAATAATAATAATAATGGTAAACACAAATCAGAAAATTAACATGACAACGTTATATTGAATAAACACACACACACACATTCTTCAATTGTATAGAAATAATAACAATAATACTGTTGATTAGACAAGCATTAAAAGTTATGAAAGAGCGTGATATTTAAGTTAAGGGGTTGTTTGGTTGATATGAATATTGAATGTTGAACACCTACATTTATATATGCATGTATATACAGTATGATGACTATTATAATAGTATAACAAGAAAATTCTGAAGGTGGAATGTTGAAACTGGCTAAGAAGAAGAAGAAGAAAGTTGGCAAGTTCTCATAACCCATCAATAGTAATATCATTATTAGTATTATTGTTGTTAGTGTTTATACTACTATTATTATTGTTAGTAGTAGTAGTAGTGACAGTAGGACATTTTGACTCATTTGTTTCTGTCATACAATGATTATTCTCATGATTGTTAGGCATATCACCATTACCATCACCAACACCGTCACCGATACCGACACCATTAACACCATCTTCAGCATCGGAACAACAACCATAAACAGAATATTCTGCAGAGGATCTAGAATAAGATTGACTAAAAATATTGTTTTGTATAAAAAAGGACAAACAAAAATTAGGATGATCATGATGCGATAATGAGGGTTATTATGATGAAGGTGAAAGATGTGATGTGTTTACAAAATAAGGAAAAAAATCAGTAACACTACCCCCAACAACAACAACACTATCACTGAGGACGCCAACACTCAATGGCCAGCCCATGAATTCTAACGTCAACTAATTCGTGATCTTAGTGCGATCATTAGCCAATGTCATTTGTCCTCATTCCCGATAGAGCGGACTGCCAATGGTTATGACTTCTCACCTTTAGGTTCAAACCCCAGTGGGTGAGTACTGTTGACGGGTCCAAAAACGGGACGAAATGGTTGTCCGTTACTGTCAGCTGGTTTTTAGAGGCTCTCTAATAGATATCACTCCGTGTTCATACTTGAAACAAATACACGATAAATTAAAGATTAAAGACAGTAAACTGTGTTCACCTACTTTTCGTGAACTGTTTACACACTTTTAGACCATATTATAATTCAATTGCAATGTATATACAACCCATAGCAGGCACAAACACACATACACACACAACTATTTGTTAAGAGAAAAATATTGGGTAAAAAATTAGTAAAATTCGTTGTCTTAGCAACACAAAAAGAATGAGACAACTTAAAATGTTAGGCAAACAAGGTCAGTCGATCGATATGGTAGTAGAGCTGAACCAACAAAAATGGCGGGAGAAATGAGCTACACAAATGTTGAGTCGCTGCCTTGCACGACTCACAGTGTCACTTAAAGTAGGAGTAGGTTGGGATTAAGTAAGGTCTTGTTACAAAAAAAAACATAACACGATTTAAGAACTTTAAGAGAGGTTAGTCTCAGCCATACATAGACAGGTGAAAATTGTCTGGTTGCAATTCTCGAGGCTCAAATAAACAAACGAATTCTTGAAAATACCAAACACGTATTCAGTAAATATTGTCTTTCAAACAATGAATATCTATCTTCACCATTCCATATGATAAAATAGACAATCTGTTCTCGTTATTATTTTCTAAGTGTGACAACCTGAACTAATACATAAAACCATACACTACTGATTGGCTGAAATGAGTAGTTTCATACCACCACCCCTCATATCAACCAGCAGTACCTGCTAGCCACCACCGGAGGGTCGCTTCGTTTTTTTGGGGGGGACAGGGGGGGAAGAGCTCATGTACTAGGACTTGACTCAGCTCAAAGAGGCGAATCGGTTCAAATCACCCACTTTCTAGCTAACCAATAAGGGTTGAACTGCTCATATCAGAAATGAAATTCACAATTTGCGATTAACACAGTTTGAAGGGTGACATTTCATCATGGACAAATACAGTGCTGCGTAGTAGTCTACGGTGATTATTATACTTTGCATGCCTATCGCCAAATATTGATTACCATTAATACACTTAACTGCACACACTGAAGATCAAGTAACCGGTGGACTGGAAAGCATTAGCAACACATATATCTTGCAGTACAATGAACCAACTAAGAATCTATCGTTACAGGGTTTCATCATGAGCTGACACCAGTTAGAGAACCAGTAGAAAACCTCGGAGTACTGGACAGCTGTTTCGACCTAGTTTGGGGCTCTTCATAAGTACTTACTTACTTACTTACTTTACTTCGGCTATCTCCTACGGGAGGATGAGCCGGCTTCATGAACGAGTTCATGAAGTTTCTTGGGAATTTGATACGAGTGATGTCCCCAACATCGCTCGGCCTTTTGTTTGAGAGTGCAGCTCTAGCCTTTACACAGCCAAGTGTGACCTACAAGGCAGTAGGAGTGGAGTAGGGAGCCCACTATCCATTGGCAGCCGGTGACCGGAGTTCGGTTCATACGCCTTTTTGAATGGGGCCAGACATCCAGGACATCCAACAAGCCCTTTGTCCATACGTCTGCCGGTGAGCTCCGGTGAGCTTCATACGCCAGTCGTTGAAGGTTTGGAATCAGGGTTTAGCCATCTCCCCTAGACTGTCATCCAATGGACAGTCAACTCGGTGGAGAGCGCCGGGCATCCGCTTTTGCCCTCTCGCTTTAGTGAGAAACACCTCCGCCACGTGAAGGCAGTGAGTAGGACTTCCTCAGGAGAGGCTATGTAAGACGCACGGTCATATGGGAGCATTTCAAGAGGTGTGCGGAGGGGTGGCCAACCCGCAGCGCAAGACACCCACCCCCGACCATCCTGAGGCTTTGGAGGCTCTTCATCAGTACGCACCCACCGGGGTTCGAACCCAATCAAATTCCTACAAACCAACAGTTGAATATCAATGAGATGCTCACTGGCGACTGGCCCTATTCAGATAGGTAGTTACCTGGGGTTCCAGTGGGAAGTCGTGACCAGTAGGGTGCAGCAGGTCGAGTGTGAGGACAAATACTCGCCGAAGACATTGGCTAGGGGTCGCGCTATGTCGTGAATTGATGGAAGTTAGAATTCATGAACTAGCCATTGGATTGGGTCCCAGTGGCTTAATGGTAAACGAGCTCGCCTTGCAACCAGAAGGTCATGGGTTCCAATCCCGGTGTTTGCGTACTTCTGAAGAGTCCCAAACTAGGACGAAATAACTATCCAGTACCCCCAGGTTTTCCAATGGTTCTCTAACTAGTGTCAGCTCATGATAAAATCCTGTAATCGATCAAATCCCTACAAACCAACACTTGAATAAGAATCTATCATCCAATAAATATCCAGAATGAAATCGAGATGGATTGGATCTAGGCTGAAGAGACCACTGATTAACGTCACACACACACGCCAGACACACTCTTCAGTGAAATCTGAGTGGGAAACGGCGGCTGAGAATCTGACAATGACATAGATGAGGAAAGCTTATGAAGCAATCATGAAGCCAGTTAAAAACAAAAAAGATTATAAATAACGTGAAATGGTCGCATACTATTGAAGTCTAATGTTCCACTAGAAACCCAAAAGAATGATGATGATGATAATGGAAATAATACCGCCAATGTTGTATCTCACTCTCTATTGAGTTCTTCATCTTTCACAAATCAGTATGATTTCAGCAACGATTTTATCAGGCATAAATTCTAGACAGTCTATATTTGAAAGTTCTGCTTTAATCATCAAACTTAACAAAACAATGGTGAAAAAAAGCAGAAACAACCACTTACCTTAAAGTTGAACGTAATAGAAGATCTTGAGACCCTTTCAATTTTCGTAGACCGATGATATCGTCAGCTGATGAATCATACAATCCAAGTTCATCATCATCGTCATCATCTTCACCATCTAATTTTAAATGTTTCGCCTTATTAATGTAGGCTTCTAAATCTTGTATACGTCTTTGTAATGCAGTCATTTCAGCTCGTGAACATGCAGCATCATCTAGTGCTTTATTTACATCGAATTGAGCTTCTTCAACTCTTCTTTGTGCTATTGTAGCTTTTCGAGTTGCTTCACTTTCTTCTTGTTGGGCTAAACGTAATTGTCTTGATAATTTACGATTTTGTTCACGTATATTAGCTTCAGATGAGATAAGCTTGTCACGTTCATTGGTTAACTGTTCAACTGATTCTTTTGCACGATCAAGTGAATATTGTATGCGTGTACGATTAGTTATTTCACTATCTAAACGTTGATCTAATTCACGTATTCTAGCTTCTAAACGGTCTAATTCACTACGAGGAACCTATTATAATAATTATAAAGAATTAAACAAAAAGCGAAGCATAAATTTCTGAAAAAGGAGGTACGTCGGTCGTTTCAACGGTAGAATGCTTGTCAACCGATGGCCAATATGTCTGGAGCGCAATTCTCAGCTGACAAACTCCTGAATCACCTCGCTAAGTCAGTGGTGAACCATTCAGCCACTGGGATTCAATCCAATGCCTCATGGATTTCAACTTCTGCCAACTTTTGATATACATAGCGCAATCATCAGCCAACACCATAGGCGAGTAACTCTTTTCTTGCCTGATTTGTTAGACACCATCACCACCACTACTGTGCCTCCGACTTCTCGCTAGAACTTCAGGTAACTTTGTGTACAAAGCCAGTCTCCAGTGGTCATCAGATTAATTCTCGATTGTTGGTTTGTGAGGATTTAATTTGCTATAGATTTCAACACAAGATGACATCAGATGGAATTCATGGACAGTGGCTGAATGGTCTACGAGTGCATCTTGTGACCTGAAAGTCCCGGGTTCAACCCACGTCGGGCGCGCACTGACGACGAGTGACAAGCCGTGATGAAATAACTGTCCAATACTCCTGGGCTTCCATTTGGTTTTCTAAATGATGTCAACGCGTAATCATATCTATAATTAAATAATACTCTAGCATACAAGTAACTTTCACTAACTGATTACTTTAGAGAAATCAGTAACTAATGAGAGTTCAGCCATAGTGAACAGTATGAAACAAAAACACACACACACAAACGAAATTACGGGTATGTAACAATCCCTCTTTTCAATAGGGTTTATTCCAGAAAGCATATAGTGGTTCATTTGTCTACAAAATAAAACAACTATAAAGTATTGCCGCAATATCTAATAAGGTTACTATTAGAAATATCAATACAAGCTTGATACTTGAAGTGTTGAAAATCAAATATCAGAACAAACCAGTGTCTCTATGCACACATACACAAGCAGATATGGGAATCGACAGTAACCATTATCGAAGCTATCTGGATTTTGGTCGTTTACATGGATTCTGGCATAACTCAAAGCTTTCCCCTCTATCCCTCTCCAGCTTCAGTAAAAGAGATATCGAGATTAAGGCAATTAAACCAAACAAGTGCACTGTAGAATGGTCATCTCTTTTCTTTGAGGTTTCTGAAGCAGAAAGAGCTCAGGGGACAACTGCTTGAGGTCAATCACAAACGGTCTATCTGAACTGGTTCCAATGGTTGTTTCTGTATGAGTAACTTACCTCCAACTACGGACCACCGTAGGGTAAGTTGGTATATACAATTTTTGGAGTCTATCTTTCCAAATACCCATTTACAGAGTGCTAAAGCAGCATAGTCGGCATTCTGGTCATCTGAGGGAAACACCTTTGACCATACACAGCCAGCATAGTTTAGACATCTTTTAGTCTAATCGTTCTGTTCCCCCCCCCCCCCTTATGGCTGTGAAACAAAGCCACTGAAAGTGAAAGATATGAAAAGACTACTTGGCCTTGATCATATGTGTCGCCGTTCTACTTTCCGTGTAAGGTAGTATAATATAGTGAGTGATATTGAGGTTAAGCATCAGTCGAGTGCTAGGTAAGAAGGGAAAAAATCGAGGACATGGTCATCGCCTCCCCAACGGCCAATGTTAACTGACACAAGTTAGAAGACAGCTAGTGATAGTCAAACCAAAACATGCAATCAGCCCATGAATTCTTTAACAGTTCGTTTGAGCCACGTAGAAAGGTGTAAGGTGGCTTCTTGGTTAGGGTCATAGGGATGTTATGAACCAGTAACTGGAGGCACATGATGAAATGGCACATAATCGCTCTCCATTGCCAAGATACATTCACTCTTTTAGATATGATATATCCGAAAAAAACCCATTGTTTTTCCATATAACTATTCTCTCTTCCTTATACTTCTGCTTACTGTCATGCCGTTAAGAAGGGAAAAACGTTGAAGCTGTAGGTACATAAATTTGGTATACCATATCTTTAATTCTTTATTTGCATATCATTTACAAATTGGTGGAATATCGCCACATTCGAATGCCTGTTGGATTCTGCACAGTGTTTGTAACATTTTCCCTTCTTCGATTGCCCGAAACATATTGTTACTCTTCTGAATTCGTTTACTGATATACTACTTACACCTGATTATAAGTAGCACTCACTACAATACTCCCAAATCTTTTTTTTCTCTCTTTTGTCTTCCTTAGTGTCCCACACGGAGTGTAGCGATGTCCGTGATGTCTCAAACGCTCAGGAGGATAATCGTCAAACACACAAGACGTCTGAGTCCTATTCCCAATCAACGCACACACCTAAACCTCACCTGGCTCTGGTAATCATCTCAGAAAAAAAGTAGAGGTTGGGCAACTTCACCCAATGAAAAAATGAATAACACCATCGCCACGAAAACTAGAAACAATGTAACCCAGGAGTGATCCCATTCAGAGTAAACAAAAAAAGTTGATGAAAGCAAATGAAAATAAAAACAAATTAACTTACCTGATCCATACTAGTTGTATTAATTTCTAATTTTAGCTCATCTATTTGTGTTTGTAGTTTCTTCCTTTCTATAAGAAATGCATTAATTTCTTCCATTTGTGCTTGAATAGTAGCCTCCTTCACAGTGATATCAGCTAAAGCAGCAGTCAGTTTATCACGAGTTTCTTTATGCGCATCTTCCTGGTCAGCTAATTGATTTTCTAACTCATTAAGTTCACGTCTTAAACGAGACAGCTCTTCTTCAAACTATAAGAGCAAAATTTTAAGGATAAAAAGATGAACAATCAGTGTAAATCTATTTACTTACAAGGCGATTGAAGAAACTAAATTGCTGATGAAATCTACCCTGACCACTGATCTCAGGTGTCCGTCGATCGGGGATCGAACCCCGGACCATGTGCATGGTCGGCGAGCATCCTAACCGCTGTGCCACCGACACACAGGTATATTAGAGAAGCTTTGTAGTTCAAGCGGATGATTTTGATGTAGTTGTATTCTCTGAGCTAAATGGTTTACTTGAGAAGCTTTCATTCCTCAGAGCATTCTTCGGTTTGAAGTGAGCCTTGAAATTTCTCCACGACTTTACTAGAGGTGTCTCCTGGTAATCTTGAATGCGACTGGTTGTTTTTTGTGTGTTTTCTTATTTGACACTTCACATTATATACTTCGATCGGAAAAGAACTGGTAATAGAAACCAAGCAGGAATTACCCAGCAACGACGAACACCTCCCGCAACACTCAAACATGCAACATTCGAGTTGGATGGAATGTATAATCATGTAATGTCTAATAATGTATTTTCAATTCAATAGACAAATATATGGAAAAATTAAAGGGGACACGTCTATGGGATCGCCCACATCAGGTCTGATTGAACAAGCTGTGATGCAAAGACTCAAAAACACAATCCTACCAGAGATCAAACCCGAAATATGTTATGTGGATGACATATTCGTGGTAATCAGAAGAAACGATTTAGACAAAGCTCACAACTTAACAAACATCTTCAACAAAATCAAATTCACAAGAGAATAAGAATCTCAGGGCAAATTCCACCTTTTCGACGTCGTAATCAAGAAAATTATAAACTCAAGTATACAGAAGATCAACTCACACACAAACCGAACACCCAATTACAACAGCAGCAGCACAATAACACACCAATGCAGTTGCGTATAAACATTATTTAAGAAAGCCAGGAAGCATTTCAGAACTCCTACCTTGAGGAAAGTTGACAAAAAATATCTTGTAGAATATCCACAAAACTTCACCAAAAGATATCTAACCATAATTCGACCAACCAAATCAAAGGCCCCCAATGGAAACATAGAGAAAAACGTCTTATCATACATAAAGAACATCTCAGAAATCACTACAATACGATTCAAACCTTTAGGAATTCATGTTGCACACAAGCCAAAGAAATCACTTCACTCGGCTTAACGTCGACCGAAAGACTCAACACCGAGAAATTTTAGAACCGATATCATCTACAAAGTAAACTACAACGACTGCGAAAAGCACTACATTGGCCAAAGTGGACCCCCTCTTCGTCTTCACATCCACGAATATAATCTGGCAGTTAAAAGACACAATATCCACTCCCTGATAACACTGCACACAATCACAGACTGTAATTCGATCGGAACAATGTTCAAATATTAGATAGAGGAAGATTCAGATTTCTAACATTAATTTCAAGTCAATCAGTGATTCTAGATTGTGCGTGTCATCAAAAGGTTTTTACCGACAGCTGCCTTCTCTGGGTTCGTACTGAAGATCAGATGGCTCAGTGATAAGAAAGTCTGACAATAAGACTTTCAAGAACCTACTGTCCAACAAATCTGCACGAGGAAACACAGATGCATCAGGCATGCACTAAGCAGACCCATTGAGTGACATCACACGTTAACTACACACCCTTGAGTGGAATCCTAAGGTGACATGGAAAAGGTTTTGTGTGGAGGGTATGAAAGCTTACGAGTAGTCTTCATGTCAGATAAAGACTATTGCACAGAACAGGATGTAGATGTCTTATCGAAGCCCTACGTTCCACTCGGAGGCTAAGGGAATAATAATAGTCATTTGATCTGTTTAGCAAATGGTTTCCAGCTACTCATATATAAATCAGTAGTATATGAATCACCTTGCGAAAAACCTCTTCTTAAACCTAGTGGCTTCATATTGATATACACAAAGGATCAATATGATATTGTACTATTATTATTCCTAGATCTCTTGATTATGTCCAGAGAGTGGTCAATACTAGTGTCAACTGTCTGCACCACCCAACGAATAACACCACCTAGACGTTGACATTGAGAATCCTGTGAACAGAATTCATAAATTCAAGCAGCAGCAAATATTTAATTTTTCTATAGTTTGGTTTGTAAGGATTAGTTATGTTTTACGAGTTGATCACGGATTGATATCAGTTAGAGAACCATTGAAAACCAGGGAGTACTGGACAGCTGCTGTTTCATCCTAGTTTGGGAATCATCGGCAGTACGCACCCACTGGGTTTCGAACCCAGGACCTTCCGGTTACAAGGCAAGCTCGTATACCATTCAGCCACTGGAACCCGATTCAATGGCTCGTGAATTCTAACTTCTACCAATTCGTGATTTAGCGCGACCCCAACCATTGTCGTTGGTGGGACATCCATCCACACACGTGACATCTAATTGGACCTCACTGGTCACGACTTCTCACTAGAACTCAGGAAACTCCAACCTGTAGCAAGTCACTAGCGAGCATCAGATTAATTTTTCACCTAATTAGAATTAAATAACGACACCATAAAAGATTTTTAAAAAAATAAAAGAGTAATAAGTTAGGCTTATATTAAATACTAATTAATGAAATACCCGTTTTTGAGTACGAAGTGCACTTGTCAACTGTTGTTGAGTCTCCTCCAGATCGCTTTGTAGACGACGTTTCTGACGATTTGTTTTCTCGTTTGATTCATCTAATTCATCGATCTAATGAATGGAAACAATAATAATAATAAGTAGAGTATTACTCAAGTTGCCATCTAGCATTAGAGTATGGGGACAGATAAACAGAACGGGTATTCCAGACTATCAACCAGATACATAAAGACACAATTATTTGCATGAAACCATATACTACTGACTGTGATTGAGATGAGTAGTTGTACACCACTCTAATCATCAACCAATTATTCTGTGAATGCTAATGATTCCTGACTAGCTTGCTGAATCGAGGTTTCGAAACTCAAACCGACTGGTTAAAATAGTGGAGGGTCGAAACCAGTAAACCACAGAATGGATAGTTGTGGATCCCAACACAGAAGTCTGTGTACATCTATTGAACAGATGACCACAGTTTGAAACAGCACACACACACACACACACAGACAATTAGTGGACAGTTTACACCGCCCCCCTACTTCTACTGGTACGTACAAACTGTCAAAATACTTCATGGACATTAATGTCAGGTTTTGATTCGACTACTCTCTTTCTGTAACTAATTTATAACTTAATCCTACATTAGTTAAATATTCCTCATCGCGTAAGGAGATGATTCGGAATAAGTGACGTGTGTCCTGGCCATCTTAAAAAATTCACTTACCCTCACTATCTAGCGGTCTATGTCTAATCTCAATAAAAGTCACTATATTATACCATTTAACATGGGAGAAAGAAACCAAACATCTCTGGTCAGATACAGCTAGTCTTTTCATATCTTCCACACCTATAAAGAAGGACAGAGTGAACCACTGTACAGTACACGCATCGTTCATACGAAAGCTGAACATCACATTTACGCCAAAGACAAGATAAATTGGTGTCAAATGCCCGATAAGCCCTTCTCATATATGCCCAGATTTCGTCAGCAATCAGTTAATCCACTATGACTGATGCAAATTCTCAAAATACGTCAGTCAACTGGTCAACTCGCCCTATCTTTAAACCAAAATCCGGCTCAGGCCAGTCCTGTGCCATCATCATCATACAATCGACAGAAGCGTGCCGCTTACGAACAAAAATCGTCGCCACTACTATTACCACTAATACGACAACTGCTAATTACATAACAAGGCATTCTCCGCTGCAGAATTTCACAGAAATGATTCAAATCCATGAAAAAGCTTACCCGATCACGTAACTTTCTAATTTGTTCTTTGTAATCATCAGAATTAGAAGTCAGCTGAAGAATGATGACATCTTTTTCAGTGAGAAGATTTTTCATAATTTTCAATTCTTTTAACAATTTACGTTCTAAATAATGAAGGGAAAAAGAAGTCATAATAGAACTTGAATATATGTCTGTCTAAGGTAAAGAAAACACAAAGTCGTTATGATTTCTGTAGGCAAAAGTATTCAAACGACAACGATATAATGGCCTGTTTTACATTGGTAAGTAGCATCAATATCATTACTAAATAAAGAAAATTGCTAAATCGCATAGGCAGCTGCTAACTATTCACACACACACACACACGCACACACACAGATCTACAACTCTCTGGCTTGTATGGGAATGAGTTCACCAGAAATATCCTATAATGATGGATCAGTGACCATGTGGTCCAAGGCTCGACTCCTGGTCGATGTACCTCTAAACCTCACTACTAAGCCTGTATGTAGTAAGCCTAGTAAAGTGGGAAAGTTGAGTTTGAGGTTAGCTACCTATCCGCTGTAGTCTTCTTTAGCTGGCCCCATGATTACCCATCAGCTTTCATCTCCTTCACGTCGCATTCGGAAATACGCCCAACTCGTCGTCTCTCACTCGGGTTCTACACGAGCCACGGCCTAGAGATAGTGATGTCATTCGACGGTATCCTCGACGGTGTGTATTCAATCCACCTCAATTTTCTTCTACATAATTGTTGAGCAATACGTTCTTGATTAGTTTGTTGCAGTGCAGAGTTTCTTGTTGCTAATGCTTTCTGGCTAGTCATCTGATCCTAAGTGTGGAGCCAGCGAAGGTAGATGTTGATAAAATGTTTGGCATGCGAGACGCTCCCGCCAAATGTAAGATGACATTACAGGACTGGACTACACTGACTCCTAGTTTAGAAATAAGGAGTGAAGTGGTAGAGCCCGTTGATCGCTTCAATTATTTGGGAAGTACCATCAGCCAGCCTCAGCAGCCTAGTCACCGGTCGTATTCATCGACAGGCAATGTTAGCTGACATAGGGTCAGGCTGGAAAAGAGAGAGCTGGCGGCGGTCAAACCGAAACATGCTACCAGTCAATAAAATCTACAACAGTTAGTTTAAGCCACTTAGGAAGGTGTAGACTTCTGTCTGGTTGGGGGTCCTCAGGATGGTTAAAACCAAATAATGGCTGGAAACAATTGGTGATGTGGCTCAAAATCGTTCTCAATGGCTGGCGCAGGTGCATCCACTCCTTGTGACTTATGATTTCCAATGAAACTCTATTGTTCTTCGTTATTACTATTCCTTTGTCTCACACCTCTGTTTACTGTCCCTATTATGTATTTCTTCTACTTTCTTCTCTTGCTTTGTGTTCTACAATGAGAGAGTGTGGCGACTTGAACTGGTGCACATCGGTGCAAAGTTCTATGTCTAAAACAGACAGACAGACAGACACTCGATATCAATAGTCGGCCTGCAAAATTGGGCTACCGATATCACATGATGAAAATTTCATACTTGTTTCAAAAACACGGTGTGAAATCAAACTAAAGTAAAACAAAAAAATCGCCTGAACGTACCGATATCATCATCATTAGAAGTCGCGGCATTTGCTAACTCTGTATTAAGCACTGATATTTCTAACTCCAACTGATGTTTCTCTCTATTCAGTCGAGCATTCTCTTGTTGTATACTCTCTAACTTTTCTTCCAGTTGTCGTAGTTTAACTTGATTAGCACTACGCATCGCTTCATAATCTGTTTCATGTTCATCTTGTACGCGAATTAAATCAGCCCGCAACTTTTCAATTGTTTTCTCCGCCTTCAACTGACTGGCATGAGTAGATTCCAACTCTTTTTTTAAATTATCTAGTGCATTTTGCAAATCAGTAATTTGTAGCATTAAAGAATGATTAGTCGATCGAAGTTTATTCACCAGGGTTAATAGGTCTTCTGGAGCATTCGGGTATAATAGTGCATAGTCTTTTGTTGATGATGGTTCACCATCGTCTTTCTCTTGGGTCTTCTTTACAGATTCTAATAATAATAAATGTCGTTTTTCTGCTAGCTCTAACTTTGCAGTGATCACCTACATATGGGAAACAAGAGAACAGAGAAAGAAAATATAAAAGTCTAAAAAGCAACAAAATATAATTTAGTAAAATATTTTTCAAGCGTAGAAGGTTAAAATAGATAGCATATAGCTGTCTTGCTGGTTGTCTGAAAGAAACCTCTTACTGTTGTTTGCTTAAAAAAAAACAGCGCAGAAGTACTTTAGACGCTGCTGCTGCTGTTGTTGTTGCTGTCTTACATCATAATACTGCCTCCTCCATAGACAAAGACGTTAAATATGTTCAATGTACTTTACTTGACTACACAAATCTATACCCAAATGCTGTCTGTTACATAGGCTTTCCATGACAAAAAAGACAGAAGTTCAGGTGAACATATAGAAAACAGAGGTGATGAAGATTCCTGGACAACAACAACAACAGCAACTACAACAGACAACAATCAGCCAACGTAAATGGGAGGAACCTGAAAGAAACAACCTCCTTTACCTACCTACCTCGGAAGCATCGTTTCAACTACAGGCGATGGAACTGAGGAGGTTATCAAAGCAAGAATCGGAAAAGCAAGACAAGCTTTTATTACTCTTAAGCACTCAACATCTAAAATGAGACCCGGATTTTCAACTCCAGTGTGAAGTCAGTGCTGCTATACGGATCAGAGACTTGGCACCGTGTCATAAAGAGTACCTCAAACAAACTACACACCTTCATTAACAGCTGTCTTCGTTCAATACTCAAGATCAGGTGGCCAGCCACAAAAAATCAGCAACAGGGATCTCTGGCAATCAGCGAACCAACCAGGAATTGACTGTCCAGCAAATAAGCAGGACGAAATGGAGGTGGATCGGCCATACGCTGAGAAAACCATCAAGTGATATCACTAGACAAGCCGTCGCTCGAGTGGAACCCGAAAGGGAAGCGGCGAGTTGGTCGTCAGTGCAAGGGTGACTTGGAAGAGATCATGTGAAGAGGAGATGAAAGCATGTGGGCAGACTTGAAGCCAGGTGAAAAATCTACCAGAAAACCAAAGTAAATGGAGACGCGCGGCTGAAGCCCTATGTTCCTCTAGGAACTAAAGGAAATAATAATAATGACAAAAACCCAGTCCTAGGCTGTTAACAAACTGTTGGCAATCTTATTTCTGTAACAGAGTGCAGTATACTGTATATATAACGGTAAATCTCCCTCTACCTTGCTTACTGTAGCTGGAGTACCTCAGGGTGTTTTTCTGTCTTCTTTCTTTTTCTTTTTCCTTTCTTCCTCTAACATGACTTACCGCTTTCAGATGAAATCAACTTCGTTGAATATCCTGATCATCTGAGTGTCTCGATAGCAAATGCGTCCCTATCTGACGGTTGTAGACTTCATCACTTTTTGTCGTATATCATCCACAAAGCGAACTTGCAGACCATTCAGCTACTGGGAAAAAATCTAGTGGTCTATTAAAATTGCAAATGATGTCCACTCATGGTCAGACCTGTAACCAATCGAATCCCTGCAAACCAACACGCAAATATTCCGCATGTATATATTGCATATTTATGCAATATAATACGAATTAATACTTCAAATATAAAAGCGAAACAGATTGATACACAGTCATCTGTATTTTGATGTAGTTGTGTTCTCTGAGCTAGCTGGATGGTTTATTTGCGAAGCTTTCACCGCCCTACTAGGCAACATCTTCTGCACATACTCCAATTTCTTGAAGTGAGCTCTTAGACTTCCTCAAGAGTTTATTAATCATCTCTCCAGGTGACCAGCTTGAACGTGACTGGTTGCTTTTGTGTGTTTTCACACCTTCTAGGCTACTTGTATTGGAACTGATTGTTTCCTTGGCTTGAACTTTCACCCTTCATATCGGTTGGCAAATTTGCTCTTTCTCGGTGTGTCTATTGATTGACGATTCACTGGAATACCAGGCACCCTTCTAAAAATTTCCTAGCATTCTTGCTGTTTCTCCTGTGTGATATTCGAATGTTGTCCCAGTCGAATTGATGTCCGTGGTGGTCCGTATGTAGTGATATGAAGGAGTGGATATCATGTCTATTGACGGCTAGCTTCTGATCGTGGATACGAAGACGAAGGTAACGTCCACTTTGGCCAATGTAGTATTTTTCTCAGTCGTAACAATTTATTTTGTAGATGATGTTGGCCTTACTGCCTTTCGTTGTTGAGTCTTTTGGTTGACAAAGAGCCAGCTGAGTGAAGTGATTTTGTTGGTTTGTGTAAGACGTCAATTCCTAAAGGTGTTTGAAGAATCTTCCAGTGATTTCTGAGATATCCTTTATATATTGTAGGGCGATTTTCTTTGTGTTATCCTTTGATTTAATAGGTTGACTTGGGAGTATATGTCTTTTGATGAAATTCTGTGGATATCCATTCTTTTGGAAGACGTCCATGAGATACTTTTCTTCAATTTTCCTTAAGGTGGGAGTGCTGCAATGAGTCCTTGCTCTCTTGAATAGTGTTTGTATGCAATTCCTTTTGTGTGTTATTGGGTTGTTGCTGTTGTAATTCAGGATTTGGTCTGTGTGAGTTGATTTCCTATAAACTTGAGTTTCTAATTCCCCTGTGGTTGTTCACTTGACTAAAAATGGTATTTTGTCCAAAAAAGGGATTTTGTTCTCCGATTCCTCTTCTCTTGTGAATTCGATGTCGTTGAAGACGTTGTTTATTAAGTTGTGAGATTTATCTAACTCGTTTCTTTTGATTATTACAAATGTGTCGTCTACGTAACGAATCCAAATCTTGGGTTTGATCTTTGGTAGAATTATCCTTTTGAGCATTTGCATCACTGCTTCTGCAATCAAACCTGATATTGGTGATCCTATAGGTGTTCCTTTGACTTGTTCATACATTTGGCCGTTGAATTGGAAGCACACTGTTAGGTATAGGTTTATGCATTCTATCCAGCTTGTGTGCTGCACTTTTGATTGTTGTGAAAGGTGTTCGTCGTTGCTAAATAATTGATCCATGGTTTCTTTTGCTAGTTTTTGTCCGATCGATGTATATAATGCTGTGACGTCGAAGGATACCATTATTTCTCATGATGACTAATGATAATTGACTATCCAGCTCAGAGAACACAACCACATCAAAATCATCCACCTGAGCTAAAAAAAATCTTCTCTATCATATCTAAGTTATCTGTATATTATGTATATGTACACAGGGTTTATTTTACCTTGACAAGTTGTTCAGCTTGTAGACGATTTTCTTCAGCCAATTCTAAATCAGCTCTAGCCCGATCACAATCCTGTTTATAACGTACATTCTCAGTTGTAAGTGATGATAATTGTACAGTTAAATCATTTGATGAACTCTTCAAGTCTTCAATACTTTTCAATGCTTCAGTATATCGGATTTTATATTGTCTTAGTTCATCTTCACTTTCTTTCAATTGTGCTTTCAATTGTAATGGAGACAATGTAGTGTGATTAGTGTGTTCATTATTCGTCTAAGAGAGAAAAGCATAACAATGCGCAAAGCAGATTAATTAATACATGATTTGATTTTTAAAAAAGGTGGCTATCATTACCTTGATAATATATGGATATGGATAAATCCACGAGTTTGATACAAAAAGTTGTAAAAAATAAAGACACCTAGCGTCAGTGGTTCAGCTGGAGAATACACGCCAACCACGCTAATTTATTTGTTTATTTATTTAAACGCACAAAGAACTTGGTACAATATGGCACCAAGAAAGATGCGACACACAATAATAATAAAATAACATGGATCAAAAGTAAAAAATATAAGTAAAGAACGGATAAAGTACTTCATCTGGAAGGAAAACAGTCATACTCAACAAGTTCAAACAATATTCGTTAACTATCATCAGGAAAGGAAGAAAGAAGGAAATTGCAACACGTTCGCCATTGATTACGATTCTCGATCATATCCGATAACGTTTCGAGCCATCGATTCGAGCTATCTCGCGGACCCCAACCAGGGAGTCGTGACACACCAACCGATGCTAATCTAGCACAAACATCCTTCATCTCACGACGCCACGTCATGGACGTCATGGCTAGCGAACAGAGACCTGTACGGAAGCCTCTGGGATGACATTCGGAGCACATGTCCAAGCCACTGGAGACGGTGTTTCCAGATGACGACGCTCAGTGAATGGTGATCTCCACTTTGTTCAAACACACGCCGCCGAACCTCAGAATTACTCATGTGATGATGCCATCGAACGCAAGCAATCCTGCGGAGACAGCGATGATCGATCACGCAGAGCCACAGCACATCCTCAGCTTAGAGAGGCCAGGTTTAGCAGGCGTAGAGCAAGACAGCCCGCACCGAAGCATTGTGTACCCGACCTTTGACAGCCAGGCTAACGTCACGACGGCGCCAGAGGCGGCTGAAGTTGATGTATGCCAACCTAGCCTTCATTATACAGTTGGAAATCTCATCCGTCACCAGTCCGCCAGCACTCACACAACTACCCAGATACACAAACTTATCAACAACTTCAAGCGGTTCACACGCAACAGTGAGTGCAGGTACAGGCTCCTGCCAATCTTGTAACAGTACTTTGCACTTAGACGGCGCAAAGTACATACTATACTTACAGATACTGATCGCCAACTGATTAAGTGCGATTTGGGCAGCCTGCATGCTGTCGCACAGTAAAACGATATCGTCTGCATACTCGAGGTCGAAAAGTCTATCTCCAGGTAGCAGATCTCCACCACCTTCACGCACATCATTCAGAGCTGACTCCAAAATGTTATCGATGGCAACCCTAATAGGTTCCCCGGTCGGCGAACTTCTAATCCCCAGTTGAGCCGGTAGTAAGACGATTCGGAACAAAAAAGGTTAGGTGCGAGGCTGGTTAACCCACCATATAAAAATGAAACCACTGCTATTGAAACTTCGAAGATCCAACCTGAGGCACTATGTTCCAATCGGAACGTAAGAGAATAAGAACAATAAGATATCCCCAGGTAAAGAAATTCTACTTTTGATGTAGTTGTCTTGCCTGAGCTGGATGGTTTATTTGCAAAGCTTTCATTGCCCTACTAGGCAACATCTCCAGCTCATACTTCAAAGGAATTGTATACAAACAATATTCAAGAGGCCCAGCCAGCATTTATCGCAGTACTCCGAAACTAAGGAAAATTGAAAAAAGATGTCTCATAGACGTTTCCCAAAAGAATGGATAACCACGGAATTTCATCAAAAGACATATACTCCCAAGTCAACCTATTAAATCAAAGGATAACACAAAGAAAATCGCCCTACAATATATAAAGGATATCTCAGAAATCACTGGAAGATTCTTCAAACACCTTTAGGAATTGACGTCTTACACAAACCAACAAAATCACTTCACTCAGCTGGCTCTTTGTCAACCAAAAGACTCAACAACGAAAGGCAGTAAGGCCAACATCATCTACAAAATAAATTGTTACGACTGAGAAAAATACTACATTGGCCAAAGTGGACGTTACCTTCGTCTTCGTATCCACGATCAGAAGCTAGCCGTCAATAGACATGATATCCACTCCTTCATATCACTACATACGGACCACCACGGACATCAATTCGACTGGGACAACATTCGAATATCACACAGGAGAAACAGCAAGAATGCTAGGAAATTTTTAGAAGGGTGCCTGGTATTCCAGTGAATCGTCAATCAATAGACACACCGAGAAAGAGCAAATTTGCCAACCGATATGAAGGGTGAAAGTTCAAGCCAAGGAAACAATCAGTTCCAATACAAGTAGCCTAGAAGGTGTGAAAACACACAAAAGCAACCAGTCACGTTCAAGCTGGTCACCTGGAGAGATGATTAATAAACTCGTGAGGACATCTAAGAGCCCACTTTAACAAATTGGAGTATGTGCAGAAGATGTTGCCTAGTAGGGCGGTGAAAGCTTCGCAAATAAACCATCCAGCTAGCTCAGAGAACACAACTACATCGAAATCATCCACCTGAACTACAAATCTTCTCCATCATATCTAAAGAGATTCTATATTCTTAGTAGCCGGAAGTATCAATCCAGCAAGCTATTGAAATATATTGAAATAAGATTTAGTTGGAAAAGAATCATAGGCGGTTAAATACAGAGAAAAATCGACATGCATAAAGATGTGAAGAAAGCCAGTCAGGATAGAAAGAGCAAGACAGACCTTCATCACTCTGAAATCGCTTTGAAAATTATCTGTTATCGCGCAGTTCTTTGGAGAACGTGTCACAGAAGTATTTCCAACAGGCCACTGTAGACATTCAACAACACCTGCCTTCACCAGCTTCACAGTGAAGATCAGGTAGTCGGCCACTAAGGATAAGTAACACGGAACTCTGTCAGTGCAAGGACCAAACCAAGAAACTATCACCCAACAAATATACCGAGGGAAATAGAGATGGATCAGACACATGCTGAAGACACCGGTGAATGATATCACATATCACACCACCACTAAGCTCTCAAGTTGAAGCCGAGTTGGGCATCAGTTCGAGGGGGATATGGAGAAGATAACTTGTGGGACAGCTTGAAGGGACTTCAGAGAACGGGATGAAATAGCGATAAGCCGTTGAAGTCTTATATTCCACTGAATACTTATGGGAATAACAATATGATAGATGGGCAAAGTTAAACTTTAAACACCACTAACAACCAATCAGCAAACGACCTTCAACGGACCAGTCACATTAAAGAGGCATATTTGATGAATGGAAATGTATATTAGTAGAAAAAAGCATAAAAGAAGGATAAAACAATTACAACGGGTATCTTCCTCGAACATGTGAGAGAAACATCCCCCAGTTTAACATGGGACTGTCAATGGACAAGTCACACCACATCCTGTACATATGTTCATCTAAATGACTATAAATGAGATCCTTTTGAGATCCATTTATAGTCCTTATCCTGTTTTTCAAGCGGCCCCAAAACCCTTCAAGGGAATTCGTATGAGTCCTCGTAACGGGATTCACCTAGCAAACAAGTGATTTTCTCTATTTTCCACAAAGCAATATCTTTGCAATGCTGGTACCACTGAACTGTTGAGACGAGGCTATTCTCCGTCTCGGCAGCTGCTGCTCTCACCGGCTGTTTCAACACGCAGTAGTTGCAGATATACAAAATCTGGGTTAGAGAGAGATGCGACCTAGCGAAAAAAGTTCCTACAAAATATTAAAATTATCAGCATACCCTCTCTAATGTTAGCACGCTCGAAACAAATAGCACAACGATGAACAAATGCATCAGTTGATGTGCTATAGCTTTTTAAAGTCATGATACCACCACACGAATAAGTTCGCTCCTTCCGGAGCAACCTTAAATTCAGGCAATACTGGAAAGCACTGTCCTCCTCGAATTGCAACCGCAACCTTGTAAGGTCACGCATTAGAAATGAATCAAGCGCTATACAACATTGAACTAACGTTCGTGAATCTCATTGGATAATTCGACGTCGTTCGCTGATTGGTAGTTAGTGGTGTCGAAAGTTTACCTTGGCCGATAGATGATAATAGACCACACAATTGGTATAAATTCATGAACTGTTTGAGTGTTACATTGAATCATGCAGAAAATGTAGAATGTCTGGATGCAGTCCTCGAGACACTATTACATTATGAGTGAAGCTTTTTATGATAGCATACTTAACTCTGACTATCGTTCAAGTTCTAATAAAAATAATACTCCTTAATTTTTGAGGTCGATTTATATTCCCCGTTCACTCGTTGAAGTAAAGTGTTGGGCCCCTACTGACATATTAACTTCCAGTACGAACGCTTCAATGATGTCTGAAAATTAACATGATGTTACTTGGTGGATAAAGCCATCCCCAGTGGTTGACGGTGCTCCCCCTCTCCCCATTGAGATTCAAACTCGTGGAAATACAATCACTCACTCAATAGAGTATGCAGGCATATCAAGATAACAAGTAAGAATAGAACTAAAGGCGCATCCTGGATACAATTGTTAGCCAACATCCACTAAGGAAAATAATACTCCGGAATTCGATTTCCCAACCGAAAAACTCCTAATCAATCTTCGCCTAGCCATTAATAAACCACTGCTACTGAAAACAAACATTCTGTCTCAAACAGTGAAACTTTTTTTAAAGTAATAAGTAATCTTACTTGTATTTCATCTTCATAATCAGATGAAAAAGATCCCTTATTTTGAACTTTCTTTCGATTATTCTCTTTCTCTGATAATTAAAAAAAATGGAGATAAATAAAATGTAAGTTCAACCTTTCAATATAAATTTGGTTATGGATCGATATCAGTTAGAGAAGGAACACCTGATAGCTGTTTCATTCAAATTCAAGACTCTTAATCAGAACATATCAACGAACCTACTAGAAATTGAACCCAGGAGCTTCAGGTTACGAGCCAATGATCGATCCATAAATTCTAAATTCTGTCGATCTGTGCAGTTCATCAATCATGTTGAGGTGAATGGGATACTCACCGGTGACACGCAAGCACACACATACGCACACACCGTTAGTGATAACGATAAAAATCACGACAACTTTATTTAATTTACTTTGAATTTTCCCGTCGATTGGTTGGACTAAAGTATTCGGCTTCTGTTGAATTGTCGTCTCCATGTGCTCCAAAGATGTCTAAGGATTCGCCTTGAAGTAATCTGGTGGATGGTAACTAGCAACGGAATCCATCATGAGCGTTTCGTCACACTTGGGACTCGTCAAACGGATGTATCTGCATTCTTCAGTGAGTAATGGTGCTCCTATTGAGGCTAGAACCCAGTACCCTTTGAACTGAATTAACATTAATAAGTGACACCTGATGCACAAGAGGTGGTTTTTATGGCCCAAGTACTGTAGTGGATAACGTCCTAGCATTTAAAACGGTGGGTACTAGGTTCACGACTCAGCAAGAAAACCATCACTCGCTGGGGAATGCAGGTATATCCAACTGACGAGTCTCAAATGGGACAAAATTCGCGCATCCTGGATGGATTCTAATGTTAGTGACCATCCAACAAATGACCACAACTACTACCCATTGCTTCTGGGTCATCTAAAATGTTCTAACTTATTTAGTGACGAAATCTGAATTTAATTAAAATTCCCACAAAATCAAAAATTTGTAAGTTGAAGCGCTAGTTTCAACCCTTTTTATTTTAACTTTATCTAGGAATTAGAGCATAAATGTTATCTAAGACCAAATAATAATGTTACTATGCAAAAATGCAAGGATGTATCTCTATAATCCACTCCTATCATCGGTAATAAATACACCCTTGGGCAGACATGAGAGTTATATTCTCCCGTCTCTAGGATCAATCTAGCCACCTAAGCTGCGAGTTTCTCTATTATTATTATTATTATTATTATTATTATTATTATTATTATTACATGAAATCACTCAAAAATAAAAAATATCAATTAGGATTAAGTACCTTTCTCCTGAGAATCCAAGTCGTTTTTCACTGATTCGAATGAAGCTGACACAGGTTGGATATTCACCTAATTAACACATTGAAAAGATATTATTGAAGGCGATTAAAAAAATACATAAAAGTATTGGTTTTGTAGGGATTTTATTTGATTGCATGAAGGATTTCATTATGAGCTGACATTAGTTAGAGAACCACTGGAAAACCTGCAGCGAGTACTGGACAACTGTTTCGTCCTAGTTTGAGACTCTTCATCAGTACGCACTCACCGGGCTTCGAACCCAGGACCTTCTGGATACAAGACAAGCTCGTAGACCATTGAGCCACTGTGACCCGATCCAATGGTTCTTTTCGCTTGTCGTGAATTGGCGGAAGTTAGAATTCAAGAACCATTGGATCGGGTCCCAGTGGCTCAATGGTCTACGAGCTCACCTTGTAACCAGAAAGTCCTGGGTTCGAACCCTGTTGGTGGGTGAGTACTGATGAAGAGTCCCAAACTAGGACGAAACAGTTGCCCAGTACTCCCAGGTTTTCCAGTGGTTCTCTAACTGATGTCAGCTCATGATGAAATCCTGAAACCAATCAAATCCCTACAAACCAACACTTGAAGAATATTTGTAATAATAGGCAAAGTACAATATTTTCTAATCGATTTCAGCCTGGCTCGTTTCTCACACAAATACGATTGTTTACTTTGACACCCCATCACTAATGTGTTATTCTACGTTAAAAATGTATCCGCCACATAACTGGCTATCGTTATTGTAACGACCACAAATATTATATTTTATAATTGTAAGAACCTGAAGAGAAATTATTGAAAAGAATATTCTTCGTTCAGATTGACTTTTAAAAATGGATATGTATCACTAATTAATAATACTTGGTGAAAATTCCCGACTGTCTATTTCTTCTTATCGAGACGTTAAGAAATGTTTCATAACTGTTTACTCACACACACACACACACACATACACACTGTGTTTAAAGTGTTTAACAAAGTTAGACCAATATTTGTAAGTCCGAGGTCAAATTTTGATCACAGCTCATACACAATTTTGTTTATTATACTTGTTAATACTTGTTTTATGACTCATGATTGGACAAAGTTTTTAAAAATAAGAGATGTTCGTTTTATGTATAAACCTCTGTTATGTTAATTTCGATTAATTTCCCTGAAGAAGTTCGGACCAGATTCCCGAACGCTGGAAACGTAGGAATTACTCATTTCAATCTCCCTGAGATTTTACATATATATATACACATGTCTACTTCACACTCGGCGAGCAAATATTTTAGAACTATTGTGTCAAATCTTGACGACAGTTCATCTGAACTTTGACTGTTGGTTTAAGAATGCTCAGCTTGGGGATTCCTCCTTGAACTACTAAGAACAAATGACTGGTCACTCTGTTTGGTAACTTGAATCAAAATTGTACTCATGAGTAAATAAACAAAGGGAATATATTGATATGAGTGAAACGTACCTTTCTTTCAGAATCAAAAGTAATGTTTAAGGATGACTGAGATGGCGGTTTACTACTTAAATAAATTTCTTTTTCCATCACACTTGATGTATTTGGCTTTAATGTTATTTCTTTAGCTGATAATTTGATTTTAGAAAAGAGAAAAACAAACAAAAATGGGAATGAAAATGATGTGAAATATTGTACGGTGAACAAAAGCTAAATGTATATTACAGTGAATACAAACCAAACTTAAAAGTGAGGTATAATAGAGTAATGCTAACAGTAGTCGGAAGACTTAACAGACACTGTGAACACAAGCAATGAACATCGCCTGATTCAAGTATTTAATGTCACACAAACTGGAAGAGGATATCTAGCCAACAACAACAAGAACAACAATAAGGACTAGTCAGATTATCAATGAGGAAAATTTGAAAGAAGGCACCTGATTCACTCATCTAGGCATCGTTTCAAACATAGGCGGATGTCACAGATGAAGATGTCAGAAGCAGAATCGGAAAGGCGAGACAGACACTCAACAATTGCGGAGCGCTAGGTACATAGGTCGTTCTATGTGGGTCTTATCAAAACGTGCTAGAGAACAACATTCAGCATGTCTGCAAAGAGGAGGCACTGGTTCAATCAGAAGCGCCTTAACTGAACACCTCTTCAATACATGTCACAGAATCTCAACTGACTCATCATTTAGAGTCATTTATAAAGTAAACAAAAATCTACCAAAAGCGGTGTGTTTCCGACTTCTTTGTACTGCGGAAGCTCTCGCCATATGCATCGAAAAGCCGGAGCTATGTGTTCAAAAGAAACTAGTCCAGCCTTTACAACTACCATGGACCTAGTTCGGTGTGTTCCCTTATCCTTCCATTTTCTTGTTTTGTTATCTGTGTGTGTAATTTTCTCTCTTCACCTTCATTCAATTCATCCTATTTTTTCAGTTATAAAATCAGTTATTTTAATTTTGTTTCCATGCTTCTCCTGATCATGCTTGTAATCCGTTTAGAATAACCATTTTACGATTATATTCTAATCCTGTGTAATTTTCTGTTTCTATGCCTCTTGTAATCTATATTCACACATCCTAACTTATATTTCAAGTTGAAAATTTTGATTTCAACTTGTTTCCATGCTCATTTTGTTCACACCTGTAATTCGTCCAATCCCTGCGTCTCTAAGCCTCTTGTAATTCACATCAAGTTGAAGATAATTATCACCTTTTATTAACCTTTAAAATTATTTCTCCAGTTATCAAATATTAATTTTGCATACACGTGTTAACTGTTTTCTAATCCTATGCAATCTTGTCTCTAAGCAGCCCCTTGTAATCTATATTCGTACCTTTCATATCAAGTTGAAAATTATTATCACCTTCATTACTATGTGGAATTAAACAAATAATAATTGTATCCATGTAAAATTATGTATGTAAATGCGATTGTACGACTTTTGAGAATGAAATCGCCGAAAAACCAGATATCTTTGCTGAACTTCTTGTTCTTTCCGATCTAATGTTCCCAAGGGTATTTTCTACGATTTGGAAAAAAAATGCAAGGACCCTACGACAGTGAAGGAACTCAAGGGGTTTCTGCATTACTCTGTCAAACTTGCCGAAGTGAATGCAAAATTGAACTCTGAAATTTTGTCTGAAAATCTTCTGAACTCACTACAAAGAATAAAATACGGATTTTCAACACCAGTCAGTCAGTCAGTGCTTCTATATGATCAACAGACATGGTATATCATGGGAAGGCATTTCTAACAGGCTAATGCAGAATTTCACCAACATTTGCCTTCTCTGACTCCATAATGAAGATCAGATGGCGCATAAGCTGGAAAGGATTGGCAACAATGAAGTCCGCAGTGCAACAAACCAACCACAAGGACTCATCAACCAACTTATAATGAGTAGGAATTAGAGATGGATTAGACGTTCCTCGAGCAGACTAGTGAGTAACACTGTTAACCAGCCACACGTCAGAGTGGAACCCTAATACGGAAGGACGAGTTCCACCTTGGTTCAAAACTGACATGGAGGAGACCGTATGAGGAGGAAATGAAAGCTTATGAGCAATGGTGAAATCAGCTAAAAGGAACTGTAGGGAACAAGATGAAATGGAGATTCGCTTCTGAAGCTCTATGTTCTAATCAGGGCCCTAGGGAATTATAACACATACATACATGCATACAGCACACACCCCTTACAACTGTTATCCGACAACAGTTTAACCTAAGGAGAGTTTGAAAAATCCCAAGAATGATGTACACTAGCATCGTATCAGCTAGCCTATAGAACAAAAGAGAATATAACAGCCAGGTTGTCTATTCGGTATCCAATTCATTTACGCTAAACAGTTCGAAAAAGGATTATCTGTGATGTCGGAATTACCTAGCAGTAAAGTCACTGATTTCCCAAGTGAATAACGTAGACTGATAGGTCGAAGATAAAATTAGGTTAATCCAGACAACAGGTATACATCTTTTTGGTAGAGACTAACACTCAAGAGGCTTAGATTAGTCATTACTTTCCTACCATAAGTGTTGAATGTTAGAAGTAGAAGCTCCATAGGTGTTACTTTCCGAGATATGATATAATTTATATCATTAAAAGTTTGTTTGTAGGGATTTCGTTTGTTTCAGGTTTGACCATGGATTGATATCAGTCAGAGAACCAGTGAACCATCCTCCTAGATTTGGGAATCATCAGGAGTACGCACCCACCGAGTTTCCTACCAACCTTGGACCTTCCAATTACAAGGCAAGCTCATAGACCATTGAGATACTTACTGTCAGCCGACTCTTTGATAATCTTAGATAATATACATGTCATTTAGAATGATGATCATAACTTTGATTTATCTCAAGTTCGATCACCAACTGATCTCAGTTAGAGAACTATTAAAGAACAGGGGTAGTGGACAACAGCATTACGCAACTACGATTCCTGATAGGAGATCAAGAGTAGAGTTTTCAGGTTACGAGACCAGTCAACTGACCATTCAGTCACTGCGACGATATTCAATGGCTCATGAATTCCAATGTCTTTTTCTTCTTACTAATCAATTGTCATTTCTATTTCGTCAACTTTCCTACCGATTATATACCCTAGCTATTTATAGTAGGCATATTTCTACAGATGCTTATATATGGCCTACGTTTCTGACGATACCTCAGTTTGATTCAGCAGAAACAACTGGTATTTATTCTACAACTAGTACTGGTATTGTTCAATCTCATCAATTTGCTTTCATACAATTATTCCCTTTTATAAATTTGAACAAAGAAGAAACATTAGCACAGAATAATCTGGATCCATTTTATTTCGTTGGTTCTCATCAGCTGCGTGCAACCTGAATTTTTTTAATAAGAATAAAAAGTGTACAATTTTAACAAACCTATGTCCATTAGCAAGTATACTGTCAGGGCGTCATAAAATAAGACGTTGAGATTTACAGGGTGTCTAAACTGTTACGATATATATATATATATATATATATGTTGGTAGAGAGAAGTTTCTTGAAGAAATTTTACTAACTGTTATGTTGTCGGGGTGGTTACAAAAGAAAATTAGCAATAGTTACGTAATTAGATAAGAGAAGATCAAAATTGTTACAATTTCGGTGCACATGAGGTCAGATGACATGTTGATGATGTAATACAGTGAACAGAACTCAGAAGATCAAGTGACACTATCTCTTATGAGAGTCAAGCGAAAAATAAAGGGGGTGGAGTGGAGTGAAGAGATAAGCTAACAAAATAAACAAAATTAGAAAACAAAGAGTTACTAAGAAGTGAGTTATCAGGTTAATTGAAGTCCAACAACGGATTGCTTCTGGACACAAAAGTCAGGCTTCAATCGTTTTATTGCTATGGCTTCAGCATACCCTAAGAAGACTTGAGGTACTTTGTCTGTTAATTATTTTGAATGATTCCGACACATCTACTCGGTGTCCTGTGTCAATCAGGTGTTTGGCGACTGAAGGGCTTAAACAATTCGAAGGCTCCATGGTACATGTTCGCAGAATCTGACGTAGGCCCACCTCTCTGCTCCGAAGATACATGTGAGTTGGTATACACAGTTGGAGGTAACATGTGAGTGGTACTTCTCAATCTTTGACTGCACCAGTGAGGAGGTTGTTCGGGATAGAGAGACTAATAACGCTGCAGGATATGTCCTAGACAGGGCTGCGCTTAATCTTTTATTTACCATCCTCATAATATCGTCGCCCTTGTAGTCGAGTTTGATGAAATAATTAGGCTTCTTACTGAATGTAGCTGTATCAAGCTTCTTGAGTTCATTCTTGCCATATTTGTTAATGAAACTTTGTAGGTAACCTCTGACAATATGCTTGCTAATGGACAAAGGTTGTAAGCAGCTGATGACAACTAACGAAATAAAATGGATCCAGATTATTCTGCGCCAATGTTTCTTCTTTCTTTCTTCAAATTTACTTTCAACTCAATGAATTATAATAATCAATCAATTCGCAAGAAACACTTACATAACTCAAAAATTCTATTACTTATCAATATATCGTTAGGTTTATTGCAAGTTTAAGTTATGCAGATAACCAAATAAAGGTACAAATATTGGGAGGGATTCATTGAACATAAAGGCAAAGTTCACAAAAACAACGACAACGCCAACCTACCAGTCTCAGAATTCTGTTCATCACGCTTGATAGTCTCAGAAGAACCATAAAGTATAGTGGAACCGGCTATCCATGGCTATGGTGTAAAAATAAAAATAGAGGAAGCCAAACTTTAAAAAACTGAAGTAAAATGAGATGCATCCGTTAAATGAAAAACTTCTCTCTCAAAGGAAAAAATCAAAGTCTCAGTTATCTGAAGTTTTAGCGAGAAGTCGTGACCAATGTGGTTAGTGGTTTCGCTAAATATTCCGAACTCGCAGAAGCTGAAATTCCTGAGTCATTAGGTGGGGCCCAAGTGCACCTTGCAATCGAAAGCTCCTGGATTTGAATACCCATTGGTAGGTGTGCACTGGTGAAGAGTCTCAAACTAGGACGAAAAAGCTGTCCAGTACTCTCAGGTGTCCCAAATGGTTCTCTAACTGGGCAAAGTTAAACTTTCAACACCACTAACAACCAATCAGCAAACGACCTTCAACGGACCAGTCACATTAAAGAGGCATATATGATGAATGGAAATGTATATTAGTAGAAAAAAGCATAAAATAGAGAATAAAAAAGTTACATGGGATATCTTTCTCGAACATGTGAGAGAAACATCTCCCAGTTTAGTATGGGACTGTCAATGGAGAAGTTACATCATATCCTGTACATATATTCATCCAAATAACCATAATAAGAGATCCATTTATAGCCCTTATCCTATTTTTCAACCTGCCCCAAAATCCTTCAATAGAATTTGTATGTGTCCTCGTAACGGGATCCACAAAATCACTTGAATGGTTGACTCTATGATGAATATATCCCAGAGATGACAGTGAATTATAGCCTTTCCACTCGTCGGTGTGTATAATTGACCCCCGCTTAACAAGTCTGGTAATAATAGGTATAAGAGTAGTTGCTTTTCTATCTGCTGTCCTTAGGGAGAGAGGCGACCTAGCGAAAAAAGTTCCTACGAAATATTAAAATTATCAGCTTACTCTCTCTAGCGTTAGTAGGCTTCAAACATATAGCACAACGATGAACAAACCCATCAGTTGATTTCGGATAGCTTTTTAAAGTCGTGATACCACCACACAAACAAATTCGCTATTTCCGGCGCAACTCAAATCCAGGAAATACTGGAAAACGCTAACCTCCTCGAATTGTAACAATAGCTTTGTAAGGTCACGCATTAGAAATGAATCAAGCGCTATAAAACATTGAACTGCGTTCGTGAACCTCATTGGATAATTCGATATCGTTCGTGAATCTCATTGGATAATTCGCTGATTGGTAGTTAGTGGTGTCGAAAGTTTAACTTCGCCTCTAACTGTTATCAACTCGTAACCAAATCTGTAACCAATGAGATCACTGGAAAACAACATTTGATAAGTGAATAACGCACCAGTTATAACTTATGCAACTTAAAGATTCATGCGTCGGTGGCATAACGGTTAGGACGCTCGCCGACCATCCACATGGTCCGGGGTTCGATCCCCGGCCGCCAACGCATTCCTTTACCTCGCTAAGCCAGAAACATTGCCGGTGAAGAGGAAAGGTTGAGCGTGAGGCTAGCAACCCCATCCTGTAAAATAAACATTGCTACAGAAACTTCAAGCCACTAGCTTGAGGCCCTATGTTCCACTGGGGAACGCGAAGGAAAAAAAAACTTAAAGATTCAGACACCTACCGAAATAGCTGGGATAAGTGATACCTACTCTCAAGAAAACTGTCCGAATCAACAAAAAACACTAAGAAAAATAGGAACTAAAGTTGAAAATTGGTTGAGGATTCAAAATCTTAACCCATCCAAATGCTGAACTTCACAGTATGGATAAGTGTACACTACACTATTGGAACTTTACTAACCTATTCAATTTTTATGTAACTATATATATAATGGCATCCGACTTTGTTGGAGGACTGATGTCCACCGACAGTTCTGTGGTTACTGTTAGCTGTATTTTTGGACGAGTTGCGAGCGGAAGTTGATTCAAGAGTCTATGTTGTCCAAAGCCTTTCCAAAGTCGATGTATTTCCTATGTAATGCTCTGTTGGATGACAATGCATAGAACTGCGATTTGATCCTCACATGATTTGTATTCCAGAGATGATTGTGCATCCAGAACATCCTTTAGTCCTTCCAGGATGTCACGACTTAATATTTTGCTCAACATGTACATCAGCATGATTCCAAGTCAGTTCTTACTGAGGCTCAAATCACCTTTTTCGGCAGTTTGGTAAGGCGGATATTATTCCAGTCTGTACTTTTCCATCTCTGAGCCCTCTGTGTTCGTTCTCAGCGATTCTGGAGGGGGGGGGGATTTCACCCAATCCTGCTGCTTTCTCAACTAACTTTCAATAACTTAATGGCACTCAATACTTCTGATTTTGTTGGAGGACTGATATCCAGCCACCGTTCTGTGGTTACTGTTTTGCCTGTATTTTTGGACAAGTTGCAAGTGGTAGTCGATTCAAGAGCCCTCTAAAATGACCAGCGCGCTATTTTTTTGCCTCTCCCCTTTGGTAATTAGGCTCACTTCGCTATCTTTCACTGGTTTGATTTGAGTTGATCTCTTTCCCGGATAGCCAGACACCTGGTTATTTGATATCGTCATCTGAGGTCCTCATTACCTGAGAACTGTTCTGCTTGAGTTCCCAGGGTCTCGTGGAATTGTCTCTTATCTTTCCTAGCATTATTCAGGGAGCGGAGCCGTAGAATTAATTCACCTTCTCCTTTCGTTGTCCATCTGTACACCTGCTCACCATCCGCTTCGCTATCACTCCCTCTTCTATTGGCTTCTATGTGCCCTTAAACAACCATTCCCAATTATTGTAAGGGTAGGAGAATTTTTTAGATGTCCGGATGGACAGGTGTTGAATTTCACCTACTCCACGCATTCTCAGTTGATTGGATAAAAATAAAGCTTCAGTTAGCACTCGGTCTCTCTGTCTCTACCCAACCTGTTACATTAAATTATAAGACTGTCACTAGTGTCCTATCCTATCGAATGGTTGTGCGTAACTGCACAAAATTCTATAATTCATATTACTTGTAAACAATAACAGTAACAATAACAACCATAGGTAATGCTTTTATAAAATTATATTTGTAAAATCTCAGTGAAATTGAAATGAGTAATTCCAACGTTTCCAGCGTTCGGCTATCTCATCCGAACTTCTTCAGGGAAATTAATCGAAATTAACGTAACACAGGTTTATATATAAAAGTAACATCTCTTGTTTTTGAAACTTTGTCCAATCATGAGTCATGAAACAGGTATCAACATGTATAATAAACAAAAATTGTATGATTCATTATAAATTATTTAAATTAATCTCACCGTGTTAAGAAAATCAAAACAAGATTTTTCTGAACGTTTCGCTGTGTAAACCACAGCTTCTTCAGCAGATTTATTCGGATATTCGCGATTAATTTAAATAATTTATAATGAATCAATCTGACTCGGCGCTCAAATTATTCCAGGAAGTTCGTAACACCTACGGTCTGGAAACTTATAAAAATTGTATGAACTGTGATCAAAATTTGACCACAGACTTTCAAAATTAGTCTACTTTTGTTAAAATATATGTGTATATACAATATACAATGGTGTGTGTGTGTGTATGTGTATGTGGGTGAACAGCCATAAAACATTTGTTAATCAGACGTCGACAATCGGGAATTTGACCAAGTATGACTAATTGTTGATATATATATCCAATTTTATTTACTAGTCAGGATTTGCCATGCATCAGCTAACATCACACCTTTACGTCTGTTCAAACTGTTGGGATTCACCCATATATGTAGGGCTTCTGCAATCACTCTTTCTTTATATGAACCAAAACCTTTCTGTAAAACCTTAGTCTTATCAAAGTCGATTTTGTGTCCCGTTTCTATCGAATGCAGTGGAACCGCTGAATTGTTTTCTAGCTTCTTCAAATCTACAGAGGTCTTTGGAACCAAATTTTGATCGCAGTTCACACACAATTTTGTTTATTATACATGTTGATACCTGTTTCATGACTCATGATTGGACAAAATATCAAAAACAAGAGATGTTACTTTTATATATAAACCTGTGTTACGTTAATTTCGATTAATTTCCCTGAAGAAGTTCGGATGAGATAGCCGAACGCTGGAAACGTTGGAATTGCTCATTTAAATTTCGCTGGGATTTTACAAATATAATTTTTTATAAATGTCTACTTCTCACTCGGCGTTCAATTACTTTGCAACCATAGGTAACGCTGTTTCGCTGTTGAATATATCTTACAAACGAATTAACAAAGAATAATATACTACCACTATGTCCACGATTAATATATAGATCCACATACTTGCTATTACGTTGAACTTGCAATTACTAACACACGTTTAACACCAAGGTTTATTTATTGCATCACAATAATATCTTCCCACTCCTCTCTTTTCACGACACCTTTCATTGATTTCGATCTCTAAAGTAAACACACTGACCTCTATTGATTCAATTGTGACCTTTTAAACACTGAATATCCGAAAAGTGTTACATAAATACTCTGAACATGTCAAATAAGTTAATAAGCTAAATCATGCATTAGTAGAAGTTAGAAATCATGAGCCACTGAATCAGGTCCTAGTGGATGAATACTATACCAGCCTACCGTATAACCAGAAAGTTCGGAGTTCGAACCCTAGCATTGAGTGCGTACTGCCGATGATTCCCAAACTAGGCTAACGAAACAGCTGTCCATTACTCTCTTGATGTTTCCAGTGGTTCTCTAACTTATATTAATCTATGGTTAAACTCTAAAAAAAAACAAGCCTAATCCTTACAAATCAACTGTTGAAAATAAGTTATACCCTACTTATTATTTTGTTGAAAAAAATTCATAAAGGAATGACTTAATTTAATTGACAGCAATAAGTAGAATTAAACTAAAATTGAAGGCGAGAGTCAAGTCAAGCAACAGTAGTAATAATGGGTAGAAATTTATTAGAGAATGAGGCAGGAAAATAATACAATTAAAAAAAACAGACACCACTTTGAAACAGACCAGGTTCATTTGTAAAAAAATTATATTTGTAAAATCTCAGCGATATTGAAATGAGTAATTCCAACGTTTCGTTCGGCAATCTGGTTCGAACTTCTTCAGGGAAATTAATCGAAATTAACATAACAGACCAGATTGCCGAACGAAACGTTGGAATTACTCATTTCAATATCTCTGAGATTTTACAAATATAATTTTTTTACAAATGTCTACTTCTCACTCGGCGCCCAAATATTATAGAACTATTCTGTCAAATCTTGACTACAGTTCATTTGACCAGGTTCATTTTGTAGATTTAGTGACTGAACAAAAAGTGTTTTTGTATGCAGAGTTCGGGATTTAATATATGAATTGCCATCACTTCTGCAGTTTGAACAAGTTTGATTCGTACTCACTTAGCAAGTTTCCCGTTGTTGGGGGATCTTTTTCCTCCTTTTTTGCAATCTTGTCTTGGAACACCTAATTGAATCTGGACACTAAGTTAACCAACACACAAACTAATTTCTCAGTCATCTATAGAATCCGCAGGAATCTTGTTAAAAGAGTACGCATCAAAATTCTTCAAACCTCAGAAGTAATGACACTTAACATATTAAATCGTGAACTCTGTATACAAAAGAAGAAGTTTGTTCAGTCATTAAATATACAATCGACTTGATCTATCTTAACACCAAATACGTGTTTTTTTAATTGCATTATTTTTCTCCCTCACGCCCTATTAAATTACTAACCCTTATTAGCACTGTGGATAAGTTAATCTCTGTCTGTCTGTCTATTTTCGGCATAGAATATTGCACCGATGTGCACCAGTTCAAGTCACCACACTCACTCCTTGTAGAACACAAAGCAAGAGTAGAAAGTAAAAAGAAATGCATAACAGAGACAGTAAACAGAGGTGTGAGACAAGGACAGGAATAGCAGTAACGAAGAACAAAACAGTTTCATTGGAAATCATAAGTCACAGGGAGTGGATGCATCTGCGTTAACCATTGAGAACGATTTTGAGCCATATCACCAATTGTTTGCAACCATCTGTTTTTACCGTTCCGAGGACCCCAACCAGGAAGTCTACACCTCCCTACGTGGCTTAAACTAATTGTTGTAGATTTCATTGACTGATGAAGACATGTTTTTGTTTGACCGCCGCTAGCTCTTTTTCAGCCTGACACATCCTATGTCAGCTAACATTGCTCGCCGAGGAAGGTGATGACTAGTCATGCTTACGTAACACATGTCCTAACCATCTCAGTCCATGTAATTTCACAGCCTCGTAGATTGATTTCCCATCCCACCTACCTAGCACTCGACCGATGCCTAACCTTAATATTGCTCACCTTATTATACCACTTCAAACGGGAGATAGAACGCAGTCACTTATAATTAAAGACAGCTAGCCAGTATTTTCATGTCTTCCACTCTCAATGGCCAGGTCTTGCTCACAGCCATAAAGGGGGACGGAGCGGACTGATGAGCAGTACACCCGCCCTTTGGTCGATAGTTGGATATGACGTCTACGCCAGAGATGGCGTAAACTGGCGAAACTAGCCCTCTGTATCCGTGTTGAGATCTCGTCAAAGATGGTACTTCCCAAATAAGTGAAGCGGTCAATGTCCTTTACCACTTCACTCCCTATTTCTAAACTAGGGGTCTGTGTGGTCCAGTCTTACAACATCATCTTACATTTGACAAAGGAAGCGAATCGCATGCCAAATATTCGTAGATTGCAGCTCAAGGTGTTCAGAAGACTCTACTGAATTTTGTCAGCGTCCTCGCCTAGAAGGAATATATTAGCTACATATTAATCTCTATCGTTTTCAATCATCAATCTCCTAAATGAATTGTATATTAAAATGAGTCCTGCTATTATAACTAATGTTAGTGCTAATAGAGTCAATAAATATTAATAATAATAACACTAGTAATGGTAATAATAGTGTTATAATCACTTACTTCCGAATCATTCATCTCCCTTGATATAGACACTGAAACTTTTCCACGTCGATTCAACGTGATTTCTTTATCTGAAAGATGAATTAGTGAGAATAATGATGACGATGAAAATAAAATGAAAAAATGAGGTCATTTTATCAATGAGGCGTATACAATAAAAAATCTAAAAAAAAATAACTATCTAACCTATTCATTATTATATTAACAATACTCCTTGATTATTTAAAATCCAGTAAAGCGTCAGTGGCCACTAGCTTGAAGCCCTATGTTCCACTAGGGAACGTGGAGGAAAAAAAGCTATACAACATGGCGATTGACAAGCTACATGATAACATTGAAGATAATTCATAATTAGTTCTTCTGCAGGACAAAATATACATTTCCGATACAAAATCAATCGGGTCAGACGCCTCACGAATACAGAAAAACTCATTTGTACAGATAACTCCCTAGGGAAAAAAGGGGTTAGGAAGCATCCAAAATACGCTGGTCTAAATGGGTTATCCTAGTAGATTTGTAAAGAGACACATGAATACACTCGGTATAATAAAGAGAAACTTGCAATAGTTAATGAGAAACAACTGTTTCTACAATTGCAATTTAATGGGGATGTGGTTAGTGAAGTCTTACATCTAAGATTATCGAGAGTAATAAAACGGACTTATACTGCCACCACCCTTTGTTTGTCGTTTACCAGCTGACGACCAATTATGATTGCTCAAGCGAAAGACAAGCCGCCTAGCTGTGCCACTTCTAGGTGTATCTACAAATTTAGTCGTTCCTATGGTTTATTATTATTATTATTTAAAAGCATAAAAAACTTGGTACAATATGGCACCAAGAAAGATGCGCCACACAATAATAATAAAACAACATAGATCAAAAAAAAGGAAGGAAGGAAAAGAAAAAATATATATAAGTAGAGAACGGATAAAGAACTTCATCTGGAAGGAAAACAGTCATGCTTAACAAGTTCAAACAGTGTTCGTTAGCTATCATCGGGAAGGGAAGAAAGAAGGAAATCACAACACATTCGCCACTGATTACGATTCTTGGCCATATCCGATAACGTTTCGAGCCATCGATTTGAGCTATCTCTCGGACCCCAACCAGGGAGTCGTGACACACCAACCGATGCTAATCTAGCACAAAAATCCTTCATCCCACGACGCCACGTCATGGACTGACCACCTCTCCGCCTTTTCCATCCCGTCCCAGGGCTAGCGAACAGAGACCTGTACGGAAGCCTCTGGGGTGACATTCGGAGCACATGTCCAAGCCACCGGAGCCGGTGTTTCCAGATGACGACATTCAATGAATAGTGATCTCCACTTTGTTCAAACACACGCCGCCGAACCTCAGAATTACTCACGCGATGATGCCATCGAACGCAAGCAATCCTGCGGAGACAGCGGTGATCGAACACGCAGAGTCGCCGCACATCCTCAGCTCGGAGAGGCCAGGTTTCACAGGCGTAGAGCAGGACAGCTCGCACCGAAGCATTGTATACCCGACCTTTGACAGCCAGGCTAACGTCGCGACGGCGCCAGAGGTGGCTCAAGTTGATGTATGCCACCCTAGCCTTCATTATACGGTTGGAAATCTCATCCGTCACCCCTCCGCCAGCACTCACACAACTACCCAGGTACACAAACTTATCAACAACTTCAAGCGGTTCACCCGCAAGAGTGAGTGCAGGTACAGGCTCCTGCCAATCTTGTAACAGTACTTTGCACTTAGACGGCGCAAAGCACATACCATACTTACAGACACTGATCGCCAACTGATTAAGTGCGATTTGGGCAGCCTGCATGCTATCGCACAGTAAGACGATATCGTCTGCATACTCGAGGTCGAAAAGTCTATCTCCAGGTAGCAGATCTACACCACCTTCACGCACATCCTTCAGAGCTGACTCCAGAATGTCATCGATGGCAAAGTTAAAGAGAAATGGAGAGATTGGGCAACCCTGTCTAACCCCACTGTTGGTTGGGAACAGTGGTGATAGTTGGTTGTATGCCCTCACTCTACCTGAGGTGTTTCTGTATAGGGCTTTCAGGATGTTAACAAATTTCTCAGGTACACCTCTCTCTAACAGACAGTTCCAGAGCACAGTTCTGTCCAACGAATCGAAGGCAGCCCTAATATCAAGAAACACAACGATCGTTGGCCTGCAATACGTGTGGCGGTGTTCCAACAACTGACGAAGGGTGAACACCTGATCAATGCATCCACGACCTGAACGAAACCCAGCCTGCTCTTCGCGAATCAATCCTTCACGTATTTTGCACAGTCTGCGAAGCAAGACAGCAGCCAATATTTTAGACGCGACTGGTAACAGACTGATACCCCTATGATTGTCACACGAATTACGTCGACCCTTTTTAAAGATGGGGACGATAATGGCTTCGTTCCACATTGATGGTACACTCTCTGTCTCCCACACCTTCCTGAACAACCCAGTTAGAGCCATTGTGAGAGTCTCGCCACCATCTTTAAAAAGAGCCGGGGGTAATTTGTCTGGGCCGGGCGCCTTATGGCGTTTCAGAACTTGGAGTTCCTTACGGACCTCCGCTTCGGTGGGTGGGTCGGTACTAACCGACCAAGGAGCACTCGGGCTAATGATAGTAGACACTGAAGCTGGTGGCCAGCTGAACTGCTTCCCGAAGTGCTCTGCCCAGCGTTCCAGGCGTCTTTTCAGGCTGGTAATTGGAGTGCCATCTGCCTCACAGACCGTCTCGCTGACACCTTGTTTCTTGCTGCCGGTGGCTCGTATGAGTTGGAACAGCTTCCGACTGTTGCCAGATGCAGCAGCTGACTCCATCTCACACGCACGTTCTGACCACCAGGCTTCGCGGTCCTTACGTAAACACTGTCTAATCTTGCGCGTGAGCGCCTTTCGCTGATTGTTGTATTCGCTGCCAGCCGGAATGGACCGGCGTTCATCCATGAGTTGCAAGGAACTCGCAGAAACCCAGTGGTTGTTAGCGGAGCATTCTTTCAAGCCGCAAGCGGCTACACTCGCCTTTTGCATGGCACCTTGCACATGAAGCCAATGTTCATCTATACTACTTGGGGGGTTGCTGGCAAGCATTGTTTTTAACTCATTCTGATATTTCAAAGAAGTAGCAGGTGCTACTAGTTTGCTCACATCAACGCTTAGACGACGGCTTTTACGAACCCCACCAAATCGCAAGACGAACTTGGCACACACTAACGCATGATCGGAGTCCAGGCATGTGCTCCAGAAGGAGCGACAGTCTTGTATGCATCCCCGCCACCGGAAACTGACCGCGATATGATCAATCTGAGTCCAAGCTTGCTTCGCAGAGGGAGGACGCCAGGTAGCGCTACGGCGATGGCTGTGCCGGAAGTTGGTGCTAGCTAGAAATAGGTTGTGATCCGCGCAAAGCTGCAGAAGACGGTCCCCATTATCTGACCTGCGACCATGTAGTCCCCACTGACCACCTAGACGATTCTCCTCTGAGCTTAGACGCCCCACCTGTGCATTCAAGTCCCCAGCCAGCACTACGATATCCCTCCGACCCGCCTGTTTCAAGAGATCGCTCAGTTGGTAGTAAAACTCATCCTTCATTGCATCCGGGCTGCAATCCGTCGGTGCATAGGCAGAGACAACAAATAGACACCGCCTATCTGGCCTACTACTCTTTACTTTCGTATAACCTTCCAGCCTCACAGCACATAAACGACTGTTAATGGGAATCCAGTCGAGCAGTGCAGCTTCGGCTCTAGCGCTCAGTGCGACACCGACACCAGCTACGCCGGATGCCGACGCCACAGGGTCCCCGGATAAGCGCAGGTGGTACATACTACTAGAACTTCCAGATGGAGAGGATAGTCGAAGCACTTCACTGGGATCTTGAATGCGGGTCTCCGAAATGCAGCAGACATCGATAGCGAGGCTTTCCAAAGTTCTTGCCAACCCTGCCTGTTGTCCGATTTGCATCAGCGTCCGAACATTGTAGGTAGCCAGCTTGAACGCAGCACGCGGTTTCAGGATATCCGTGTTAGATGTCACATTGGGAACAACCATTTTGAGGACTACTCACTAACATCTCGAAACGACACGGATAGGCTGGGAATCTCGACAAAGGCGAAAGGCTGTCGAAGGTTAAGAAGCCAAGGTTAGAAAAGGTACAATACAGGAAACTATGTATAAAAATAAAAGTAGGGTAAGAAGGAAATAAGTTCCCTGAGGGATCAATATTGCTTGGAATCATTTTAACTAGCGCGTTGAGTTTCAATGGGAGTTCGTTGCTTTAATTCATTCCTATGGTAAAAAACCTATATAGGGAGAACGACTACACAGCTTAACAAACGTATTAATAAGCATATGAGGAAATTAATAAATCAATAGACAGAGTTATGAATAAAGTTAAGAAATCCACAGCGGACCTTATACGCCAAATGAAGCCGTTTCTGGGTGAGTCTAAGTGGCTTAATTTAATGCCCAAAACTAATAACCCCAGTAGGACGTATGGTGTTGTTAAAGTTCACAAGTCACGATGCCCTATTAGACCTATAGTTGATTTTATAAATTCACCTACTTATGAATTATCTAAATATTTAGCCATGGTATTAAATCCCCTAAAAGACCACTCGAAATCTAGACTAACTAATTCTTATGAACTAAAACACAGATTAGATAATTTAAAATTAGATAATGAAGAGAAAATGGTCAGTTTTGACATTGTCAGTTTATATACACGTATAACAATAAATATGGCTATAGAGGCAGTCAGAAACGAACTCATTTCTGACCAAGAACTCGAACTTAGGACAAAAGTGCCACTCGAGGACATAATTCTGGGAGTGCAGATATGCCTAGCTTCCACAGTATTTAAATTTCAAGGGAAAATATACAAACAAACTGAGGGAGTTGCCATGAGATCACCAATATCCCCGGTTGTAGCAGATATATTCATGGATAGGTGGCAAAAGATAGCGATTGAAACGTTCACCCCCACCCACTCGAAAAGTATGGTGGAGGTATGTAGATGACACATTCACTTAAAACACAAGATATAAATAGATTTTTCGAACACATCAACTCGAAGGTGGAGGCAATTCAATTCACTTATGAATTGGAAAGTCAGGAAGGGGAACTTCCAATGTTAGATTGCAACGTAAAAAGGAAAGAAGATGGGAAACTAAACACTAGTGTTTACAGAAAACCCACAGATTGAAACAGACATTTGGATATCCGATCATCCCATCCTATGTCAGGAAAAATAGGATTGGTGAAATGTTTAAGTAACAGAGCACAAAAACTAAGTAGTAGCAAGGAAAATCTAAGACAAGAAATGATACACATAAAAGAAGCCTTGAAACTTAATAATTACCCGGATAAATTAGTCAAGAAATATGTAAGTAAATGTAAAAATAAAATAAATAATGATAGTAGCGATAGTGATAGTAATAATAATAATGATAACAATAATAATGATAATAATAATGGTAATAATAATATTATTAACATTAATTACGACACCAACAATAAGGAATGTAAATCAGCAGTAGTAATCCCATACAAGGAAGGAACCTCGGAAGCCTTACGCAGAATTCTTAACAAGGCAGAAATAAAAGTGGACGGCATTCAAACCCACAAACTCAATTAGAAACAAGCTTTGCCGGTTGAGGGATCCCGTGGAGCCGTTAAAACAAAACAATTTAGTTTATCTAATACCCTGTCTGCAATGATTGTCAGGTCAAATGCATAGGTCGAAGTGGTAGAACAGGGGCAGTCAGACTAGTTGAACATAAAAGCCCAGCAAAATCTAGATTGGTTGACCCAAATAAGATAAGGAATCTAGAGAATAGTTCAACCATAGCATTAGATGCAATCACACACAACCATACAAAAGGATGGGATAGGATGACAGTTTTAAAATCTAATGTCACCGGATGGAAGGAGAGATTGATAAGGGAAGCTTTGTTTATCGAATCAACTGCAAATCAGCACGTGTAATAGGAATGATTCAACACCTGTCCAGTCGGATATCTGGAAGATTCTACTACCCCAACGACGACAAATAGGAGAGGACAAGGAAAACAATAAAACTCAAGTTTCAAAGTCGTATGATTACAATTGATATGACTATGAACAATAAATTTTGTTCGAAACTTTGTCATCCAGTAAATAATACTGTTTCACTGTGTGATATATCTAATAAACAAACTAATATGGAATTACTTACTACCACAGTGTCCAAGTTTTACACATATATTAATAAGCATCTTCCTTCATGATCCGAAAAAGGTCAAATAAAATCTATAAGGTGTTCTATTTTGACTCATTTGACTGATAGCGATCATCAAGTGGACAGAAGTAGTGCGCCTTCAAAGTTATCTATCGCATTCCAGCTTACCTTTCGAATGGAATTCGAACCCGCCTGCTAAACACATAGCCGAAGCTATGGGAATTAATTCGAGAGAACAATCCTAGTCTTTGCATACAACAAAAGAAGTTTGTTCTACCTTTGTCTGTGCCTTGGCCTAAGTAAATTCCCAAGAAAACACCCTACCACTCTTTCTTATTTTCCATTTCCTTCGTATTTTTATGATATATATATATATATATATATATATATATATAGGTCATTTGGAAACTACTTCGCTACTACGGGGTGCCATCGACGATTATACACCTCATCCAACAGTTATACGACAATGCTGCATGCCAAGTAATCCACAACGGGAAACTTACGGAAGCCTTCGAAGTGAGGACGGGAGTGAGGCAAGGCTGTCTACTATCACCAATGATCTTCCTGATTGCAATTGATTGGATAATGCGACAGACAACGGCAACCAACGAGGGAACAGGCATAAAATGGACTGACACAAAAGACTTGGAGGATCTGGATTTCGCCGATGATATATGTCTGATTTCCCATAAACTGGAAGATATGCAAGTGAAAAGTAACAAGTTGGCAGAAGAAGCATCAAAGATAGGACTTCACGTGAACATAGATAAAACAGAGATAATGAAGATTCCTAGCCAACATCAACAACACCAACAGACCACAATAAGCATAAATGGGAAGAACCTGAAAGAAACAACCTCCTTCACCTACCTGGGAAGCATCGTCTCAACTACAGGCGGAACTGACGAGGACATCAAAGCCAGAATCGGAAAAGCAAGACAAGCTTTCATTACTCTCAAATCTGTGTGGAGGTCAACAGCAATCAGCATCAAAAATAAGATCCGGATTTTCAACTCCAATGTGAAGTCAGTGCTACTATACGGATCAGAGACTTGGCGAGTCATAAAGAGCATCTCAAACAAACTTCAAACCTTCATTAACAACTGTCTCCGCTCAATACTCAAGATCAGATGGCCAGAAAAGATCAGCAACAGGGATCTCTGGGAGCGAACCAATCAGGAACCGATTGTGAAACAAATAGGCAGAAAGAAATGGAGATGGATTGGCCATACGCTGAGGAAACCATCAAGTGACATCACTAGACAAGCCCTCGAGTGGAACCCGAAAGGGAGGCGGAGAGTTGGTCGTCCAAGGGTGACTTGGAGGAGGTCATGCGAGGAGGAGATGAAAGCATGTGGACAGACCTGGAGCAGGGTGAAAAAGTTGTCAGAAAACCGAAGTCAATGGAGGTGCGCAGCTGAAGCCCTATGTTCCTCTAGGAACTAAAGGATACAATAATAATATAATAATATATATATATATATATATATATATATATATATATATATATATATTGGAATTTCCGTTTACTTATAAGAGTAGAGGTAGCTTAGAATACTGAATAAGTCCTATGATAGTTTATAAAGTTGCATATCTCCATATGGTAATGCTTAGTTGTACAAGGCAAAATAGTGTTCAGACTGATAGTTGAAAATCAAACTCTTTTACCGATGATCAATGTTAATGTTACACATGTAGTTGGTAACAAGCCACAACTATTGTATATTAACTGATGATATTATCTACCTACCCAAGTGTAGACACACATTAAGCAGGGTTCAAACCCACAACCTAGTCGATCATGCAAACCATAAATAATAACCGCTTTCAAAGTGGAACTCTAGATTTCAACTCACCGCCACCCCCTTCAGATGTCAATGATGAGATAAAATGATGCAATATTAGACAGTTAATTCACTCATTTACTAAGTATCAGATAATCGGCAGCAAAGGATAAACAGGGAGGAACTCTAGCAGTGAGACAAACAGACCACCAGCATATTGCCTAAAATATATACCGAAGGAAATGCAAATGCAATGGACATGCACACTGTGGCGATCATTGATTGCTAACACATATCAGACACTAGAGTGGAAATCGAACGGGAAGTGACAAGGAGTTGGATGTGAGTCTTGTGGTGACATAGAAGAAATCGTAAAAACTTATGGAGTCATGGAGCCAGTTAGAAATGAGACGGCAGAGAAATGACGATGTTCTGGCGATGAAGCCCTCTGTTCCATTCGGAACCCAAAGGAATAATAATAAATCACTAATAAATGTAGCTTAACAAGAAATAGTAATATATTTTCAACGGCAGGCAGTAGGCACCAATGACGATGTCAGAACCAGTCAGGATTGGAAAGGCAAGATAAACCTAGATCACTTTGAAATCATCAACACTCAGAATAAACAACAAAATTCCGATTTTCAACAGCAATATTAAGTCAGTTAGTTATTCTATATGAGTCAGAAACTTGGCGCTGTTGTCACGAAAAGCATCTCCTACAGGGTAGTGAAAACTTCTATCAACAGCTGCTTTCGCTGGCTCCATAATGAAGATCGAATGGCCGGTCGGCAAGAAAGAATCAGCGACAAGAAAAAACTATGGGAACCAATCAACCAAGAACTTATTGATCAACAAAAATTCCCAAGAAAATGGATATGGATCGAACGCATACTGAAAGGAGACTGTCGAATGACATCGCGCGCCAGGCCGTATCTCATATGGAACCCGAATGGGAAACGGTGAGTTGGGAATTGATCCGAGGGTGACATGAAAGAGATCTTGAGAGGAGGAGATGAGAGCACTTACGGGCAATCAATCGTGGATGGATAGCTTAAGAGGAGTTCAGAGAGTAGGATGAAATGGAGACATGTTGTTGAAGCCTTTATAATATAATATAATAACTCTAATATAATAATAAAAAATAAATTACTCTTTACGTCATCAGGTGACCAGTTCATTAATTAATGTTAATCAATCTAAGCAGAACTCACTTAACTCAGTAGACGTCTTCTCCATCACCTTCTTCGCCTTCTCATTCTCTTCATAACCATGAGCAGAGTGTACTTCACGTTCAATAGCCTAATATGAAATCAAATATAATTAATACACAGAAAATTAATTAACTCATATATGATAAAGAGAGAGAGAAACACAAAAACAGCCACTAACAGTACCTTGTCGTCAGTTAAGGCATCCATTCCTCTCAGATGATTAGTGTTCACATCAAGTGAAATTAATTTTGAATAACAACTATACACTAATTGTAACTGTATGACGTAAGATATTTACTAAGTAGATATTGTTTTCAGTGTTACGTAATGAAACCAGTTAATTAACCAATCAAATCATGAATGAGTGAGTGAATTTCAAGCAGGGGGGGGGGCTCATTTCATTATGTGTTGACAGTTCATATCACACCTTCTTGTCATGCTTTCTATAGTCTGATTTTGAAATTAATGGAGTCAATTTCCAACCAATGCAACCTGTTCCTTTGTTCGTGTTGATGTTATCTCAGAACAACTACTGACCTTGGCAATTATTGAATCACAAGAAAAGGTTAATGATAATTGACCCCATAACCTAACTATTAGACCAGAGGTCATAGCATACTAATAAGATAATCAATTAAAGTATAATTATATTTTAATAGTTATCATTGTGTGTAAACTATTAAAATATAATTATACTTTATTTGATCTAATCCACAATGCTCAAACTTTTTACTGATACTAAGATAATCAATAATACTCATAACCGTACTCAACTGTAAGACAAAAAGAAAACAAAATAAAGACTAAGTCTGAGCGAGAACAACAAAATATAATGGTGTATATACTACTGACGGTATCATGAGCAACCAAGTGTCGGTTTGCAGGGATTTGACTCGATTGGTTACAAGATTTCATCATGAGCTGACATCGGTTAGAGAAACGTTCGAAAACCTGGGAGTACTGGACAGCTGTTCCGTACTAATTTTAAAACTCTTAGGCAGTACGCAATCACCGGGATTCGGACCCAGGACCTTGTGGTTGAAAGGTGACCTCGTAGACCGTTGGGACCCAATCCAATGACCAGCCCATGAATTCCAAATTCTGCCAATTCATGACATAGCACGACCACTAGCCATTGGCTAGTATCAGCGAGTATCAGCCCTCACGCTCCACCCCCTGAAGTCTTGTCTTCATTGACCTCATCTTCTGCCAACCTGTTGATTTTAATTTGTATGTCTTCGAGGTTATGTAACATTAAGCATAAGTCCATAGGCAGAGAAGTCCAAATATTCTAGAGTTTTCTTGTCAGTCCAATGCATTCGTGTCTTTTCGCCCCCCCCCACGATGTGCCGCACAACCCAGTTATTCACAACAATCAGGTATGCCACTGGTAACATCAGGCAGTCTTGTCTTCTGTCTTCTGCTTTCCCTATGAGGTCAAATGGTGGATTTTGTAAAAACCAATTAGCCTGACACTGACAACACACATCTAGCCAAATAAATTTACAATTAAGATTAGAAGAAATAGTCATTTCTATCCTGGATTACGGCTCACATAACCGTATAGTTTAATTGGTACAATTTAAAAACCAGATAAGTAGAAATTAAACTGTTAGAAATATAAAGATATGAGACCAGTGAACATTAGTTTCGTCTTAGTTTAACACTCTTCAGCAACCTTCGCCTATAACCTTGTTGACCCAGAGTTATCGAATTTTATGAGGCGAGTAGATTAACTTCCAATTTTTTATCATATCACAGAGGATGGAAAAAAACCACCTAGTGAACATCTATTAGAATTCTATTCTATTAGTCTACAAACAACATCAATTTGGTGTGTTAGGCAGGCAGTGAGTTTAACTTACAATCGATTCTATATCTTCATTCGACTTTTTATTGTCAAGAGTATTATTGTCTTCTGATTTCATTACAGGAACTGATGCTCGTCCATTCATAATAATTTCTTTTTGCCTTGGTGATATAAAATCAACTGGTGATCCTATTGAAAAGAAAAGAAAAAGAAAGGAAAAACACACACGTATATCAAAGTTTAATTTCAATAAACTAAAGAAAAAATAAATTCCTGTTGGATGATTCAAGGAGACTGGTAGGAAGCCCGGTCTAGATCTCATTTACCTCTCAGGATTTCAAACCCACATTAACCAGTAGGCCTATCGGTTTGCTTATCGAAAGCAGGACAATACAGGAACACACAGGCTAGGCAAATCAACGACAGTTGTGAAATGATAACAGTTAAGTGCCTCCCTGTCTTGACTTAGTTATCAGACCTACATAATACGATCAAGTAATAAAGAACGATTATCATCTAAAGTACTATTGAATTGGTTGTATTTCGAAGTGGTAAGACTAAAAATGACGACTACACTACAATGCACAATTGCGTTCAGAAAAACAATCCAGCCTACTGACTGAAAGGAGATAGTAATGCCAGGATAGTGTAGTGTAGTGTAGTCGGCTACACTTTCCATTCAGCTCTCATAAAAACGTATCTTTGTAGACTTAAACTTCCACCATACAGTAAGGGTATTCTGTAAGGGTAAGAGCAATATTCTACTGTCTCCTTAATGATATACCGTTAATACACTTCGCTCCAGATAAATCAAGAATACACACATCACATTTCAAAATGATGACAGTAGGAAGTGTTTGTTTTGTTTCAATCCATCTTCTCTTTAACAACAGTACAGATCTAATACTTCCTTTACCTAACTCATCTACAAACACTGTTGAATTCAGCTAGACGTTAATGTCAGTAAAAAGTTTGAGTATTGTGGAATAGATCAAATAAATTATAATTATATTTCATTAATTTACACACAGTGATAAGTTCTTCTTAATATTTCGAACAGAATTACTGCCTCTGTTCACACACCAACTGTTGGAATTGTTTTGCTTTTTAACTCACACATTTATGATTTGTACTCATTTATATTTATAGTTCTTTTACTTTTTTGTCCACTCATTTTTGTGTATTCAGAATTATATTCCAGGTTGTTGACAGTTGTGCTACTGAGTCACCCTTGTTACCACCTGTATCCGGTGTGACCTTATTGAATAGAGATTCTGTTATAAATCTCTCTTTCCATTTGTCCATTTCCATTAGAATACAAACATTGTTTCAATCAATATTGTGGCCTTTGTCTCCTGTATGTGTATCTATAGATGAATTTTTTTTCTAAACTGTTGTAAGCTTGTATTTCTGTTGGTTGACCTTTAGTTAGGCGCTTATATTCATTCACCCTTATTTTGAGTGATCTGGACTTTTGACCCCCATATTTAGTCGGACACTCAGCACAAGATATCTATGTGTAAATTTCATTATTTTTGTCCATCATTTTTATTGGATTTTCAATTGATTTGTATCATTTCAAATTAGATTCTTTGGCTTAAACTCGGTGTGGATTGCAAAATTTTTGAGATTTCTTCGAATCGCCTCTGATGTACCATATTTGTATGGTATTGTGATTGATTTTCAAGTCTACAAGCTCGCCTTGTAACCAGAAGGTCCTGGGTTCGAACCCTTGAGGGTACTTACTGATGAAGAGTCCCAAACGAGGACGAAACAACTGTCCAGTACTCCCAGGTTTTCCAATGGTTCTCTAACCAATGTCAGCTCATGATGAAATCCTCCATGTGATTGATTTTGTTTGCCTTCCTCCTTCTTGTCATTCTCTGGTTTCACCCTCTTTTTTCTCTTCTTTACATTATCTCTGATAAATTCTTCCGGGTAGTAGTTGTCGAGTAACATAATGAATAAGACGTTTATTTCTTTTCGTTGGTCATCATATGATGTTGTAAGTCGCTTGCGTATTCTGTCTGTAGGACCTTGTATTAACCCTTGTCTTACCGTGAATGGATGAGCTGACTGGCAATTAAAGAATCTCCCAGAATGTGTAGTTTTCTATATGGCATCGTTTTTATGCTACCATCTGTTACTCTTTGTAACTTGCAGTCTAATATATAAGCAGTTCCCGATTTCATTCTCAACTAGATGTTACTTACATCTCACCTTAAACAAGTTGGTGAATTCATTATGAGTTCCAAGCGGAACATAGGGTCTCTACAACACATCTCCACTTTATCCTATTTTCTGGCATCCTCTTCAGCAGGGTCCACGATTGGCCAAACTCTCTCTCATCTCCTCCAACTCACACGATCTCCTCCATGTCACTCTCGCACCGACGACCCACTCTTCGTCTCCCATCTGGGTTCCACTCGAGGGCCTGACTGGTGCATGATATCATTTGACGGTCTCCTCAACTTATGCCCGATCCATCCATCTCCATTTTCTCCCACATATTTTTTGAGTTAGTTTGTTGTCAGAGTTTGTTATTGCTGATTCCTTTTGGCTGGCCATTTGATCTTCAGTATGCAGCCAGCGTAGGTGGGAAGCTGTTGATAAAAGTCTGCTGTGACCTGTTGGAAATCCATCTCGTGATATGCTAGCCATGTTTCTGACCCATATGGAAGAAATGACCAACTTGACATTGGTGTTGAAAATGCGAATCTTGTTCCTTATGCTGAGTGTAGAAGATTACTAAACTGGCGTCAGGTTGATGAAGGCGTATCTTGCCTTTCCGATGCCGGCTGGCTTTGACATTTTCATCTGTTCCGCCTGTAATTGAAACAATGCATAAGACTCGTAGAGAGCTGGGGATATAGCAGATTTTAACTTCTTATTTTTGACAACTATATTGACTTCTTTGTGGATCACTAACATTCATTGCGGAGCAATTTGTATAAAAACAAAGATCCATGAGAAATATTCTGCTGCAGTTCTGGAATTTGATATCAAATTTGTTAGACAGCAGACTGTTGGTTGGTTGGCTGTAAAACTCCTTCGTGGTAAAACCTCCTTGACCATCTCGCCTAAATGTACTAGTGTGGTGAGAGCAGGCTGCTAGCCGATTGGTTGACACTAAGCTACGTTAATATGGGCCGTGAGAAAATATGAACAAGGCTGAGTCAACAACCAATCACAGCAAAGTTAACGTGGCAAAATATGATTCGCAGATAGAGAACTCTATTTGTCAAGGAATCCCGAAACAACCAATCAGAAGCCTGCGTTTGTCTGCCCAACTTCTGATAAACAACCAATCAGATGACTGCGCTTGTCTATAATAATGTATGTGAAATATGTATAAATACGTGTTGATTTTCATAATAAAACGATCTGTTGCCAGCCCTTGTCTTCTGTTGTTATACTAGTCTGTCTTAAGTACAGAAAAGAGGTAAGATTGAGAGAGGAGCCAGCAATCCCATGCCATTAAAAACATCTTCATTGTTAATTCAACTTCAAAACAGAGAGAGAATAAAACTTTTTCCCTGCTGGATTAGGAGAAACTCCTCAATTTGAGGGTGTATAACGTGAGAGGGCGAAAGCCTTCGGGAAGCTGATCGGCTGATAAGTCTTCTTTCAATGAAAGTAAAAGTAATTCTTGAAACATGGAAGGTCCACAGTGTGTTTGAGGTTACATTCAATATTAACATCCTTATATTGGATTACACTACATTCATATACTGACGAAAATGTATATTATTATTATTATTGTTAATATTCCCTCGGGTTCCGAGTGGAACATAGGGCTTCAACAGCACATCTCCACTTTATCCTGTTCTCTTCAATCATCTTAGCCTGACCTCACAATAATCAATGGTTTCTCATTCCCTTCTCCCATGAACACCTCTGTGTCACCCTCGGACCAACACCAAACTCGTCGTCTCCTATTCGCCCTTCACTCAAGAGTCTGGCACACGGTGTCACTTAACGATCTCCTCAGCGTTTCCCCGATCCATCTTCATTTTTCTTCAGAATATTTGTTGAGCAATAGTTTCTTGACTGGTTCGCTGACTGCCAGTCTCTTGTTGCGCTAATTCTTTCTGATCGACAATCTGATCTTCAGTAGGGACCCAGAGAAGGTGACAGCTGTCGATAAAAGTCTGCAGTAGCCCATAGGAAATGCTATTCATGACGCGTTGACCAAAATCTTGAACGATATAGAAGGACTTAGTGATTTAACACACTAGTGTTTAAAATTCGAATATTGTTGTTTTTGCTAGATGGGTAAGATTTTCCAACTGATTTGAAGAGTGATGAACTGGTTTTGACATCTTCACCTCGTAGTTGAAACTAGGCTTCCTAAGTAAATGAAGGAACTAATCTCTTTTAAATTTATTCTGATTGGTGTTTGTTGGTCGGTTGGTTGATTATCTTCATCATCTCCTTTTTCTGTATGTTTCCCTGAAGTATTGTCTTGGCCAAGTTAAACTTTAAGCACCACTAACTACCAATCAACGAACGACCTCAGATGGTCGGATTTTGTAGTACTGTATGGATTTTGGGTTTCTTAGAAAGGAGAGGATTTTTTCATATGGTGATGTCATGAGTTTAAAAAACTTTATCAGATCGATTGATGAATATGTCCATCGTTGTCCAATTTGTTTGAGATGAGCTGGTATTATGGAAGATAAGCTGCTGATAATTTTAATATTTTGTAGGGACATTTTTCCCTACGTTGCATCTCTCCCTAACCCAGATTTTGTATATTTGTAACTACTAGGTTTTAAAACAGCCTGTGAGAAGCGCAGCTACTGAAACCGAAAGTAGCCTTGTGTTAAGAGTTCAGTGGTGCCAGCACTGAAGAGACATCGCTCATGGAAAATGGAGAGAATTACTTCGTTGTCGGGCGGAGAAGGCATAATCATGCACGTGGACGAAACTGTGTTACTGAAGAAAAAATACAACCGTGGTCGTGAGCGAGCCAACAATGTTTGGATGATCGGTTTACATGACACCTCCCTGCGGAAAGGATCCATGGAGAGAATACCAGACGGAAAGTGAACTACTTTAATACCTATTATTACCATACTTGTGAAACAGAGATCCATAGTACGTAATAATGAATGGAAAGGTTGAAACTCGCTGTCATCTTTTGGATATATTCAACACAGAGTGAACTATTTCAGTGATTTTGTGGATCCCATTACAGAGATACACACAAGTTCTAGAGAAGGATTTTGGGAAGAATGAAAAATAGGATTAAGACTATAAGTGGATCTCAAAAAGATGTCATTTATAGTCATTTGGATGAATATATAATGTACAGAATGTGGTGTGACTTTTCTATCGACACCCTATGCTAAACTGGGAGATGTTTCCAATACATCCTAGCAAAAGATACCATATGTAACAGTTTTATGCAGATTTTATGTTTTTTGCTCATAAATATACGTTTTCCTTAATCGAAAATCCCTCTTTCATGTGATTGGCCAATTTGAAGGTCGTTCGCTGGTTGGTAGTAAGTGGTGGTTAAAGTTTAACTTTACCATTGTCTTTGTTGCCTCTTCTGACAATTTGTTGGTTTTCGCTTGTAAGTCTTCAAGTTTGTGTGACACGCGATATAAATCGGCCACGAAGTCCATATACTTTAGAGTCTTCTTATCAGTCCACAATTTATCTACTCACGAATACGTGTATATATTATACAGGGATTTCGCCGGGTGGTGGTGACTTTTAGACACATATTAAATACTAGGGTGGTTTGGTTACCAGAAACATCATCCTTAATCTACACTGGCGAATAAACAAAGTAGACTGGACAAGAAAAAAACAAACATTATTACAGTATCTCTTACCAGCTGTTTGAATTTCATGTATATCGAGGCTTTTACGCAAAGCACCGGCTTTTGAAGGTTGTTTAGACACTGAATACGGAGATACACTGTTTGCTGACTGTAAGTAAAATTTGTGAAATAAGAGAATTTATCACAGGTAGTTAGATGAAATTCAGCTAAAAGAAAGGTTACATTTGACGGTTTTGTGCACAAACCTGAGAAAGAAAAAAACTTGGAGAACCTAATTATCACAGTGTGCGTTTTCTTTCACAGGTGCTCAAACACTGAACATGTACTGAAAAGTTTACCTTCCTATTTATGCTACAGCAATAATGATTTATTGACACATATAAACTCACAAGTAGAGGGAATAAAATTCACATTTGAATCGAAAAGTAAACAAGGAGAATTAGCTATGTTAGATCGTAAAATAAAACGAATAGAAGAAGGCAAACTGCACACTAGTGTTTATAGAAAACCAACGCATTCTAATAGATATTTAGACTTTAATTCGTCTCATCCGTTAACTGTTAAGGCAGGCTTCGTGAAATGTCTAACAAACCGAGCCATTGCACTAAGTAGCACAAGAAAAAACTTAAATGACGAAATAAAACAGATAGAAGAAGCGTTGGTGTTGAATAACTATCCTATAAAATTCATTAGAAATATCCATAAAGGTCAAAAGCAAAATAAAAGTAATTGTGGAACTAGTGATGATGACAAAAATAAGAGACAATATAAGTCATCTACAGTTATACCATATAAAGAGGGGACATCTGAGATCCTACGTAGGATTCTTATTAAAGCAGGAATTAAGGTGGCATTCAAATCCTCCTACAAACTCAATCAGTTAGGACAAGTTCTGCAGGCTAAAATACCCGGTGGACTCAATTAAACAAAATAATATAATTTACAAAATACCCTGCAATGACTGTGAGGTCAACTACGTAGGTCAAACTAGTAGGTCGGGGGTAGTCATATTATCATATACCCAATGTCCAAATCTTCTGAAAACATTAAATAAGAACTAAGTTTGGAAACATATGGACATAGAATCTAACAAACTTCTCTGAGTGGAGCACCCAGAAATAAAGTTAGACAACTTCTTCCATCTTCCTATTCGAAATAATATATTTATCACTTCACTAAAAGCCAGGGAGCATTGGTCAGTCATTATACCGGGTTTCGAACCAAAGACCTTCCGATTATAAGACCGTCTCGTAGACCACTCAGTCACTGGAACTGGAACTTGATCCAGTGGGACAATTCGTGGGTGAAGACTTCTGAAGAGTCGCAAAATTTGAACGAAATACTTCCGTCTAGTACTCCCTAATGGTTTTCAGTCGTTCAATGACATCAATCCGCAACCAGACGCCAAAACGAATCAAATCTCTACAAACTAACCTAATCGACTATGCTGTCACAGTCTTAAGCAATAAGAGGCTGTATAAAAGATACAGTGTGTAAATAGCAAATTCGGCACTGTGGTGTACAGTACATAATTCTGCAATAAAATAATTTCTATCACAGTAATACATTATATATTATGTGTTTCATCAAATAAAATTATTCTAATTTCAGTTGTTAGATTTCATCACGATATCTCTGAAAACCACCAAGAAGAAGTGGACAGCTGTTTCATCTTATTTTGGCATTCTTCGTCAGTGCGCACCTACAACCCCACCACCAAGGATGGAACCCCAGAGAGTAGCTCTGTATCATGAGTCAACGAAGTTAGAATGCACGGGTAAAAAGCGGCTAAATGGTCAACAAGCTTGACCTTGTAACTTAAAGGTCCTAGGCACGACCCTTGATGGCGGGCAGGCCGGGTTGTGAGTGTGCACTACCACCAAAGGGTTCTGAGAAAGGACGAAACAGCTAGCTAGCCATTTCTCCCTGATGGTTTCCACTGATCTCTCTAACTACTACTGATTCGGAACAAAATCCAGCAAATGAAATTAAATTAATCCACAAATTCTATAAATTCTAAATTTATTCTATATTTTATGGAATAAAATATTTGCAAAACCAATGCATTTCGTATCAAAAAGTACACAAGTAAGAAGTGTTATAAGAAACTTTTATTTAGAGATAAATACTCTTATCACACACACACACACACACACACACAGGGATGCGCAACTTTGCAAATCTATCCCTTTGTTTTAATGCTTCTTTAGTGCGTTTTATAATAATGTAAGGCTTTCATTTTTCAAAACAACTCTGGATGATATTTTTCAATTGTTTATTACCCGAACTCGAACTCCAGTGAAAAGAACCACACCTCACAAAATAATAATAATAATAAAAATTAAATTTACAAATCAAACACCTTTTACGCTATTCTTAAGAAAAAAATAAAGAGTAATGAGGGCAGTAATCCAAATGAGTAGATATCATTATTGTTGTTATTACGAACGGCAGTAGCAGTGGTTGTTGGTGTTGTTATTATTATTATTATTGTTGTTGTTGCAGTATGAATGCAGCTCAAACACAATAAAGTGCAGGGTCAATCTTATACATTCATTGAGTAATTAATTATCTCACGAAACAATAAACCTTGATTTATTTTTCATTGGGCAATTTCCACAATATTATATATATATATATATATATATATATATATATATATATATATATATATATATATATATATATATATATATATATATGGGATGAGTTTTAGCATCGACAAATGGAAATGCCTGACAGCGCCATACACACACAAATGGATGAGTGAAGTACCGTCAGCCGGTCAGTCAGTTTGGTGCTCCTCTCTGCTAGATAAACAGTCATTCACAGAGATATACTGATGATCTAATATATTTGTACTTGAACAACCAACCAACCAAAACCAAGGTAATCATGAATAGCACGAACGCCAGTGATCTCTTACCAACATGGGAGTACATTGATACCCCATATGATACATTTATTGACTGTTATGCCTACTATAATAATGAACCAAATGCAAATTTAGGCTTATGCGTCACCTCAAGTATTGTTGGCATTATATCCATTTATATTCTACCTATTGTCTGTACATTTGGAATTATTACAAATATATTCATTGGTTATATCTTTTTATTTCAATTCAAAAAGTTGAATCGACAATCAATCTACATGTCATTTATTTGTTTTGCTGATGCAATGACAATATTATTCTTCGGTGTGTTATGGATGATACCAGCTAAGGGGATACCATATGCAACAGAAGGACGTGTTTATTACTTTATCTTATACCAATCAGTTGGTCTGTGTCGATTTCATCGTGGTGTTTATTCATTTGCTGCAACAATGGCAAGTAATCTACTATTATTAACCTGCATAGACAGATGTTTGTGTATATTTTACCCACTGAAATATCGTCAAGTACCAGTTCATTATGCATGGTATTTTATACTTGGTGTAGTGGTTATCACAGTTGCATCAATTCTACCCTTTATTATATTAAGTGATTTTCATAAAGTTGATAAATTCACCACATGTTGGTTGGATGAGAGTCAGGTATTCCTACAAATCTTTAGTATACTGTTTAATAATGCTGGTTTTGTTCAAACAATTTGCGTGCTTCTCTTAAATATAATATTTATGCTAAAAATGCGTAAAACCTTTACAAAAGACCGACTGGCTGATCCCAAGTCAATTGAAAGTAAAGAATGGTCAGCATCAGTTATCTTATTTATTCTAGCTATGACTCTACTATTATTTGGTTTACCCCAATGTGCTGCTTATCTAGCCGCTTTTCTATTTCCAATGTCAATGTCTGGTATACACTTGAAACAATCCGTACGTATTGCTTATAATATTGCGGATATATCATGGCAGTGTATATTTGCACAGAATGCATCGGCTATATTTGTTTGTTGGCAAAGAATGCATGAATTTCGAGTGGTGACACGGAGAATTCTGTGTAGGCATGGTCCATTGAAAACAAAGCTAGACTCAGAAGCTCAATCTACTATAGGATGACCATCATATTCGTCTAAATATTTGGAAATTTGATTTAACTGAGTGCCTGTCATGAGATATGACGGATGTTATACATACATGCATGCCACAGAAATACAATAGCAGACAGTTGTTGTCATTGTAGCAGCACTATACTACTGAAATATTCATAGTAGTAAGATATATTTCAAGGATATATACATATTACAATCTACTGATTTATTGACAATTTAATCTGATTGTTGAATTACTGAATTACTACTATTTAAAACAAATCAGACTTTGAAATCCCAATTTCTAAAAATAGAAATAAATTTTTCTGTATTTGTTATGACTTTCTTTTTCTGTCATTATTTTGGCGAGTTTTCAGTCTAAAAACTTATCAGTTTAGAGAGAATTATCTTTCATTTTGGGGAAAATAATAACGGGGGTAATGACTCAAGTTATATATCACAAGAGCCTTATGCTTTAAGGCACGACTGTGTAATACAATTCTAGTTACTCAGAACTCAATTACCAGGAAGAGATTATACTATCCAGGTAGGTGGAGAGTGGCACACGCCAAACACCCTACTAGTTACGATGCTAGGTGGAAAACCCCAACAAGTATGGTGCGTCGGTGGAACAGTGGTTGGGACTCTCGCCGAACATGCACAAGGTCCGAGGTTCAATCCCCTGCCGACGCCCACTTGATATCTATGGTCGGCCTGCGAAATTTGGGCTACCGATATCCATGCTGAAAATTCCATACTTGTACCAAAAATACGGTGTGGAATCGCACAGTGTAAAACAGTTACTTGAAATTCAACTGGTTTCAGTGATGTAGTCATCTTCGATGACTACGACCTCGTTGACAATCACATAGGTCTCCTGAGCAAAGAGTAAATCAATCAATCGATGAAAAACAAGGCAGAAGTCCAAAAACGATCACAATAACAACTATGCTAGCGGTGCCTATGGTCCAGTGGATGGTGGATATGGCGGGTATGAAGGAGGTTATGGAGGATTCTAGACAGGTAGTCCTTATGGGAGATACAGAGGAGGCTGTAATCCATACCAAATGAATGATGACGGTTCTAGTTGGAATTAAGGAGGAATGGGGAATGGATTGGATAACTACAGGGCAGGGGAGCTACAGCCGTTGTTAATAATAACAATAATGGCTTTATTCCAAACAGTACTTTTGACATGATATGGAATCGTCAGCATCTACATTACATAGTAAGGGGGAAATAATTAAGAGGGCAACAACAATATATATATATATATATATTAATGATGAAAAGAATAAATAGTGTCATTTATTTGTTACTCCACAGTAAGGAAATAATTTCACATACCTATCACTTTTGTCATCACATAAAGTGTGCACCAAAAAGTCTACGTCTCAAGGGAACAAACACTTTCAACAGTGCCTTGTTAGGCATCTCCTTGATACGGGTCAAGAGGTGGATATCATAAGATACTTCAAAATGATAAGTAGACAAATGAGCTTGATTCTCCTCAAGTAAGCTGAAGCAATCTCCATCAAACGCCTAAAGCCTGATTTAAGTGTGTTCAGAAGGAGGAAGCAGTTATCAGTCTCCCCTTGTCCACCTGGTAACTGGATATCTTTATTCTCCCTTGCACTTGATTACATAACGCTATAAAAATACCATTCTGTACGATTGTTATTGTTTGAAAGTAGTCATTACTAATTTTATTAGCACTGAATGCATACATTGATTTTTGGCTTAAACTTGAACTCTATGGATAAGTATGCTCATATTGTTTCTGTATATAAACTTAGTATCTTTAGGATGTAGGCAGCTGATTAGAAGCCAACGAAATAAATGATGGCACCATTTTATTCTACACAAACTTTTGTTTTTCCTTTATTCAAATTCATAAATGCAAATAAATGTATGAAATATGGAATATTTCAGTCTTTATATTTAGTCGTTTGAGCATAAAATCTTTTATAACTGCCTCTAGTACTAACTGATGAAGTGCAAGGGGAAAGTTGTTTATAGAGACGGTGCTCACAGTTCAACACTAATTTTTCGCATGAATTCAAGTGTCTGTCCACAACAGTATTAATGAGTTGGCTTACCGATAGCTTTTAGTGCCCTAGTCAATACAACCAAGTCTGTCTTAATTGGCCGAGGAAAGATTAAGCGGAGCACTAGAGAAGACCTGGTAGATTACAGGAGTCTACAAACTGCAGAAGTACAGACTGATCGATACTAGATTATCTCAACTTCCTCGTCTAGAAGGTTAGAAACTGACAGGATATGAGAAGACCAGGAGAAATCAGAGGAAAGATACTTAACCTTCAACTCAGTTTCAACTTCAGTGTCTTCTACGATACAAGAATTATGGGAACGGACCAATTCATGTAAATCACGTTTGTATCCGAAAATGAAACTCGCTGCGAAAGGGGGGTGGGGAGATTTACCTTAATATAATTCGACAAGGAACACTGACTAATTTCTGATAAAAAAAAACCAATTCATTTTAGACCCAGTATGCAAAACAACTAGATCATCAGCATAATTAATAAAATCGGCTTCATTAGAACTAGAAAGATCATGTAATAGGAATGTAAACAGAAAAACGGACAGAACAGCACCTTGAGGGACACCAGTTGTAGAATGTAAAGCAGTATGCTGTTTCCTATCAGAAAAACAAGAATGTGACGATTTATCCATCCAGCAACTTGTTTGTATGATAAGCTGTATGATACTCAGGGTGTGATATTTTACGGTAAGACTGTAGTCATCACAATCTGCGTAATATATACCAAATCAGTTATAACCTGGAATAGATTTTTTATGTACCAGGCTGATGATGATCCTCTCCTCGTAGATGAAGAGGGTGCACCCTGATGGATCACTCCATCCTACAGTTTCATTTAAAACAATCAATCAAATTGAATTCTCAGCCAAAACAAAAAAATAATAACCTTGATCATCTACTGTCCTAAAATGCCTTACTGAAGATAAGACCGATACTGTCTATACTCAGCTGATCATTTAGCAAAGTGGTACAATGGTCAGTAAAAGATTAGTGTTATCGATTCCTGCAAAGTCAGCTGTTCACACTTTTAAAGACACCATATATTGTTTTATCAAATGAGTGTACATCAATACTGTCTGTCTGTCTGGATTCAACATAGAACTTGGCACCGAAGTGCACCAATTCGAGTTGCCACGTTCCAAATAGCACACAAAGGTAGACAAGAAAATGAGTAGAGAGAACTAATAGAGTTTCACAAGCATAAGAGTGGAACAGAATGTGTAATGGTAGAAAGGAATATGAAAGATTACAGAGACTGAATACATCTGAGCTGGCCATTAACAACGATTTTGAGCCATGTCACCCATTGTCTCCAGCCATTGATTCTTAGAGTCTCGAGGGCCTCAACCCGGAAGTCTGCATCTCCCTACCTGACTCAGTTTAACTGTCAAGGATTTCATGGATTGATGCCATGTTTTTGTTTGGCCACCACTTACTCTTTTCCAACCTGCGCCACCTATATCAGCTAGTAATGCCCGTCGGGGGAGGCGACGGTTAGGCATGCGCACCACGTGACCTAGCCATCTTAGTCTATGTAGCTTTATAGCCTCGTCGATTGATTTTCCCTCTTTGCCTGCCCAACACTCTACGCCTAACGTCAACATTACTTACCTTAATAAACCACCTAACGTCAGAAAGAGATCGTAGACATCTATGATCAAAAACAGTCAACCTTTTCATGTCTTCAACGCGTATTGGCCATGTTTCAGAGCCATATAGAAGGACGGAGCGAACTGCTGAGCAGTACACACATCCCTTGGTACACCAATACATCAAAACTATGAACTTCTTCCATAATAAAGCGATAATAAATCTCAGAAACTTTTGAAAAATTGCATACTGTGAAAAAACAATTCTTATTGAGCAATATCCTTAATCTCTAAATCAATAGATTAACCCCCCCCCCACCGCCACTGGATCGTATTCCAAGTAATAGATTTATGGGTTAATCTAGAGTAGATAGAGATGCGTCTTTCGGTTGACGATTTCGTACGGAGTAAAGAGTAAGAATGTAAAATATCTCAGGGATAACGATACCTGTCTTTAAAGCTAATAGGATGGATTGCTTCTAGAATTAAGTACAAAGTGAATGCTACACTGAACAAAACTTGTTCAAACTGTCCATCTTATCTGCTTGCTTTCGATAAGTTGTTCATTATCACAAGTGTGCATAAGTGGCTTAGCGGGGTAGAATACTCGCCAAACCCCGAATGTGTTCTGGAGTTTGATTCCCGATCGATGTACTCTTCAACCTCACTTAGTCCATACCACGTCCCGTAAAAAGAGAAGGTTGGAAGTGAGGCTAGCAACCCCATCCCGAACCCGGAGGCTAACTAGTAAGTCGGAAGATTTGAATAGTGAAATCACGCAAATAATTAAAAAAAAAAAGGCATTATTAGTAAGTAACTCTAACACCCACTAGATTTTATTCAAAGATATATGAAGAAAAATGAAAGTAGCAATATAAAGGAATTCGAAACCTCGACAGTTAAGAAGGAATATCAGAAGGCCTACGTAGAATTCTTAACAAGCCTGGAATTATTATTATTCCATTGGATTCTGAGTGGAAAATAGAGCTTCGACAACACATCTCCACTTTGTTCTGTTTGGTGTTGTCCTCTTCATCTGGATCTACGATTGCTTCACCTAGTTGACTAACTCGCTAGTTTTCTAACCAGTCCAAAGCCAGGGTAAAGAGGGAGGTATAGGGCTAGCGACCTTACTCCACAAAACCATTTAAACTGCCACAGAAACTTCAAAGCACAAGGCTGAAATTACGGTGGCATTTAAACCGACCAACTCATTCAGAGACAAATTTTGTCAGCTTAAGGAGTTAATCAATCCAAAAGGAAAAACAATATAATTTACCATGCCAATGGATGGATAGTGAACAGGCTAGTGTCGTTACCTGAAGGTCTTGGGTTCGATCCCTGGAAGTGAAATCATGTGAGTGCGTGTGTGTACTGATAAAGAGTTTCGGACTAAGACGAAACACTCTTGTCAACTGCCTCTTGTTTTTCAATGACTGTCGAAATGATACCGGTTTACGACAAGAACATACTTTATTATCTGAATTGAAAATGGCCTCTGATGAGTAAGTACCACCACCAACACAAGTTTGAGTACTGTTCCACCCATTGAAGAATGAACTATCAAGTAGAAACATAAATCTAAGCTTTAAAAAAATACATAAAACTTGACTTGTTTACTGAAAGCGTTTTGAAAAAGTAGATTTAGAAAAGACTTACTATTCTCGGTTCTTCACAATAATCAGTTATATATGATTGACAAGCAATCTGAACCTGTATCAATTCTTGTTCAGAAGACAGACCTGCAGAACTTGCCAACCGATGAACAAGTTGAGGAATAATAAATGTACGAAGGTATATCTAAAAGTTGAGAAAAGAAATCAATAATTCAAGTGTTGGTTTTATAGGGAATTGGTTGGTTACAGGATTTTATCGCAAGCTGATATCGGTTATACAACCATTGGAGCTCTATGATCTCCCTATCGTAACCGGGAGGTCCTCGGGATCGAATCTTGACGGTGCATGCATACTGATGGAAAGTCCCAAACTAGGACGAAATAGCGATCCACTGCTCTCAGGTTTTCCAATCGTCCTTTAATCGATGTCAGCTCATAATGAAATCCAGTAAACAAATAATTGTAGTGATCATAAAACAGTTATGTGAGAGAGTAATCACACTATAAGTATTCATGACGAAAAGAATTATGCCGATCAGAGATGATAAAATAAAATCAGTCACAGAGCCACTGAAAATCGACGACTACTGAGTAAGTGTTTCCTCCTGGCTAAGAACCTACAAACAGTACCCACCTATGAGCCCTGCTGGAGATTAAACCCAAGGCCTTCAGAAGAGCCCATTAACTAGTCGACTACTGCAACAGAATTTAATGCCCCATGAATTCTAATGTCTACCAATTCGCCACATATATGTAGCGCAACCGGCAGCCAGTTTCAACCAAATTCATGCAAACTAAAGTGTACGAAAAGTACTCAATTGATATGAGATAGTTGAAAACAATCTGCAGGAAGCTTTAGACCTAGATTTCATCCTAGTCAGTACTCGTCAGTGGGGCATATCTGTCGAAATCTCAGTTTGCACTAAACAAAGGACTAGACACATTGCATCAAAGTATCGAATACAATTCTACAGGAAGTCAATCGTGAGCCCGAGTACCTTAGTGACAGCGCCTCTGATTGCTGGTAGCACAGGTGACACAGGTTCAAATCTCAGAAGGGATATGAGTCTCTTCAAGGCTGCATATACGCACTGTCAACGAGTGTCGACTAGCACAAACATCAATCCCATCGCCTCCAACCATATAATATTAACAATTCAAAGTGCACCGTGATGACAAACCGCTTAGTGGCATGGTGGTCAAATTGCAAACTTGACTGATGTGAGAATTCAGTCTGTGCCAAACAAAAGGGGACTAGACACATAACACTGGTTACTAACTAGTGTCCAATAAAAAAAAGAATAATAGAGTCAGATAAATAGTTGATCGATGAATTGGAATTAATTGATAACAAAATAGACTGCGCATCATGGCCAGTCTTGAAAACAACATCCCCGATCCCTTGATAAGTCAACTGCACTTATAAAGGAGATAGGTAGATGATCTGTTCATAATCTCTGATGAAAAATCTAATTTAGATTCTGTCCTAAAAACCTTCAACACAGCGCATCCATCAATAAAATTCACCTTAGAACGCGAATCGAACAATGCATTCCCATTCCTCGATGTGCTACTAACCAGAAGACACCACTGTACGGTCCAAAGATCTACATATCGCAAGTCAACATGAACTGGACAGTTTATCAACTTCCAGAGCTTTGTCCCACTTATTCGAAAGAGAAACCTGATACGTACATTGTGTTCAAGGACTAGAAAACTGCTCGGAAGACGTGGTAGAGATAGAATTAAATATATTACGTGAAACCCTACTAGAGAATGGATATCCACCAAGATTTATCGACAAAAACATGAAGCAAAAGCCTCCAATGTCAGATATCGCAACGGTTCCTAAGGAAACTCTCTTCATGAATCTAGAATTGAAAGGTGATATCACAGAGCAAAATTCTCAGAAACCGCCTTTCTAAATGTCTGAAGAAGACATTTCCAACAGCCACCCTACGTATCACACTCTCCTGCTGTTTTGGACGGGTCGAGAATTTAATAGTCCTGACGCAAGAAAGACGGAAATCAGCAGACCACTAGGTTTGCGATGATACTTCTATTTTCCAAACACAAGGAGAATCAATGTCACACAAGAGTGTGAGAGCAAAATATAAGAATGTCCGAACAAGTGTGTGAACACAAGTGTGTGAGCGAATATTCAAAATGAACAAATCAATAGATAGTCTTAACATGATTGGTTAATTATAGTGGAATATCGATCCATGTATACATGCAAAAGATATCAGACTGTCAAACAAACACACATATTATATGGATATATATCACCTGCAGACAGTTAATCCAGTCTAACGCTAAGGGCAAGATAACGCTTTTGCCCACCTCAATGTGTATTTATCAATTTACTTGCTCATGTGGGGCAAAGTATATCGGCCTTCAAGTCCACAATCGTATCCTGGAACACTGCCTAGCTTGGTTAGCCAGAGGAGAAAAGAAAAATAGAAACAGCTCGATCCTCGAACACCTTGCCATTCCTGGACATCGAGCACCCCCACATGAATGCTTCACAGTGATACCAAAGTCCCTCAATATCGTATAAAAAAGAACTTTGGATACGCCATATGTACATAAGCTGAAGCATTAGCTATTCGAGATCTGAAACTGGACCTCTGCATTCAAAAGCGATACATACATTCTCTTGCCGTACCATGGCTAGAATAAAGTTCTTACTATAATTTTGCTTCTTTCCTTCATTATGTAAGTTCCCTATTGGTATTATCACTATTATTATTGTTATTAATACTTTTATTATCATTATTATTCCCATCATCTACATTTTATTACCACCGGTAGAGTGCAGCAGGTCGGGTGTGAGGACAAATACTCACCGAAGATATTGGCTAGGGGTCGCGCTATGTCGTGAATTGGTAGAAGTTAGAATTCATGGACTAGCCATTGAATCGGGTCCCAGTGGCTTAATGGTATGCGAGCTCGCCTTGTAACCAGAAGGTTCTGGTTTCGAACCGTGGCGGCTGGTGCGTACTGTGAAGAGTCCCAAACTAGGCTGACGAAACAGCTGTCTAGTACTTCCAGGTTTTCTCTAACCAATGTCAGCTCATGATGAAAATCCTGTATTACCACTCTACTACTGTTTATTAATAACATATCCTTTTCATACAGATTTTATACAAAACTACTTTATAGCCTTTCCACTTGTTCCTGTCCATTCTACACTAGCTTATTGATTAGTCATTATCTCACACTTATTACGTCATGCCGACTTCTGTCTCTTTTCTAACTTACAATTAGTCATCCCTTCTAAGGTACACCTTACATTATGTAATACAACTTTTCAAAGACAAAGATTACCAGCATCTAATTGGTTTAAACATTTCTTTATTAAATGTAATTACGACTGTACAGCAGCTCATGAAAATGAATCGTCGGAAAGAAAATTTTCTTCGCTGTCTGTGCCTATTTTTATGACTCAATATGGGAACATTTCGTTCTAAATAGGAGAACAAATAAATTAAGGTGGATAATATACAAAAATAATTACATAGTTGGTTTATTATACAAAAAATGGAGAAAAATCAAGCTGACACTAAGGTTGTGGTGGCAAATCAGGCTGGATAAAATGTTTGCTAAGGGAAAACACCAAACAAACAAGGCAACAGACACTGACAACTTACATTACTGCTACCAAGTTGATAAGTCTCCGGAGCATAATGCAGTGAATTCAAAATTTCATTAGCCACCTTGTTTACAAAAAATAAAAGAGATACATACAAACAACATACATGAGGTAAAAAGAAACAACAACACATCAATAAATATCTACAGAAATTTAACAAACTACTTGAATATGCTATTAGTAGTAATCATATTAAATTCTAGCAACAACAACACAATAACTGCGATACAATGGTCAAAGTAAGAGAATTCAAAATGGAATGTTATCTAAGTAATAAGGTAAGGTGGGTGAATCAGTCGATGAGGTTGTGATGTTACTTTGACTGAGACACCTAGGACATCTGTTACACCTGCTGAGCTATCGCCTTTCTCCACAGGCAATGTTAGCAGGCATAGGATCAGGTTGGAAAAGAGTTTAGCGTGGTCAAATCATCAAAATCTGGTATCAATCTATGAATTCTCTGAAATTTGGTTGGATCCAAGAAGGTATAGGCTGTCTTGAGACTGCTGGCGGTGATATGGTTTAAAATGCTCCATAATGCTCCAGAAGATGCACTAAAACGGTCATGTTTTTCTATGTTGCTATGCTTTCTCCCCTAACATTTCTACTTATTATAATTCTATCGAGTATCTTTTCTCCCTATTTTCATTATTTTTGTGTGCTATATTGAGCAAAGGAACTTGAACTGCTGCACCTCTGTACAACGGCTTCTACGCTGAAACTCAGTCAGCTTTCAGATTTTTCCAAGAGTTAAATAATAAACTAAAGAAGTAGTGAAAAACCGATTGCTGAACAGCTATTTCATATTATGTTCATGACCTCTATTATTATTGTTATATTATTGTTCTCTTGGATTCCTAGTGGAAAATAGAGCTTCAACAGAACATCTCTGTTTTGTCCTGTTCTCTATAATCAACTTAAGCTGGCAGCCCATAGTCCCTCATCTCCTCCTCACGGTGATCTCATTCACGTAATCCTCAGACACAATGCCTAATTCATCATTTCTCAATCAGGTTCCACTCACGCGATGACTTGGTTCACGATGTTACCCAATGGTCTCCTGAGCAAGTACCCAATCCATCTTTACTTTCATTAGGATGTTTGTTAAGCAATAGGTTCTTGTTTTGGTTCGTTACGCTGCCAGAGTTTTCTGTTGCTAATTCCTTCTAGCTGGCCATTTGATCTTCAATTTGGAGCCAGAAAAGGCAGCTGTTGATAATGGCACATTTGTCAGGAAAGGCATTCTCAACAGACGAATGCAGACTTTTATCAACAGTTGTGTTCGCTGGCTCCATATTTCAAACCAGATGGTTGAGTAGGAACGGTTAGCTCCAGGGGAACTCTGAAAGTGAACCAAACAAGCACCTATTGCCTAACAAATATGCAGAAGGAAATGCAGATGGACTGGACGCATGCTGAGGAGACAGGTGGGTGACAATAAAACGTCAAGTCCTCTAGTGAAACCCGACTCGGGAACAGCGAGTTGGACGCATGTCCGAGAGTGACAAGGATGAGATCGTGTTAGCAGCAGATAACAGTTTGTGGTCAGTCATGAAGCTAGCTAGCTAGCTAAAGAGGACTGCAGAGGAGTGAATGAAATGGAGATGTGGTATTTAAGCCGTATGTTCCACTCAAAATCCAAGGGAATTATAATACGGACGAAGAATTCGTTTATTTTATGAAAAAAACGCATAGCGACAGAGTATTATTATGAGTAAATAATAATGAATCATAGTGTGTTTGTTTTATATCGAATAAAATTATCCTATGATTGAACTTTACGCTAAACCAGTGTTCAAGTTCAATGTATAGATCGAGGGACCGTATTGTATGGGTCATTTAACCTAGTTAGCCTAACAACAAGATGCATTGGAAATAGATGAAAAACCAATAACCCGTTAATTCAAACTGGTTTACAAATTATTTGTCCTACATCCCTCTATACACACTCTTCAATGAGATTCCCTTACTAAATCATCATACTAATTGTGCAAATGAAACATTTTATTATGCCACTCAACATTAAATTTAACAAATTTGTATGGTACTAACAAATTGTAAGTAGTATGCAACTCCGATTGGAAAATGTACCGAATTCAAAACAGTTATAGTTGAAACATATAGCTCAAACGCATGCAACTTCAAATTGAAATCAGCCCCTAAAGTTTCATAATTAAACCATTCAGATCCGAGGAAATAACAACACTCATTCGGCAAGCACAGATGAAAACCTTAACCATTAGAGTATTCAAAATGTACTACTCCATGCGTGTCAGCTGCTCAATGTTAGAATGCATGCCAACTACGCCAATAGGTCTGGGTTCGATTCCCTGCCAAAACACTCTTAAACCTCGCAGACATCCTGCCTATCCAGAAGTAGATCCATTAAAGAGTGAGGAGTAGGAGTATGGGGCTAACAACTCCACTTGGTAGAAACAGTACCACTGCTACTGAAAATTCAAAACTCAGACTTGAAGACCCATTTTCCACTCAAGATGGAAAGGAGCAAAAACAACCTATGAGCGCAAGTGAAATTGTTGTTTCCTACTTAGTGTGAGAGCCCAGACAGAAGCGGGTGGTTATCATAAGGGACCAATCTCCGAGCTTTTCACTTAAAGTCTAGTCCACAAGGCAATGGATCAGCGTCAGGAGCTGTGATCTTATGGTTCCCACTGACCGAAGAACAATTAGCTCATTCGATCCGTTTAGATTCTAGAGAACATGCACACCACTAGTTCAGAATCAGGATTTCCAAACTCCAACTTAGGCAGATTTGAGTGTCCACCAGTCCTTTCACTTTTCTCAGGAACACCACAATCCGCCAAGTAAAGGCAGTGAATAGAACTTATCTAGCAGAGGCTATGGACTCATAGCCATCTGTGAAAGCATTTCAAGAGGAGGAACCGAAGTCTACCCCACTCCACGTCCGCATCAGTCGTACTTGATTGATCGTTTATGAAACTCATTGAATATTTTGCCTACTAAATAGCCACACTGCCTCCATCCCAACTTTTATTAAATGGCAATGGAGAATTCCGAATTGATACTCACAATTTTGTAGTATTGATTTCATGATGAAAAATCTAGGTGACTCTAGAGTATAAACTCCATTTCAACTATCAATATTATTAGGTAGTATGTATAATTATCTGACCTTTATCATTTTATGTTTTGTATTACAATACTAACTTAGAATGTAGAGTCGTGAAACAACAATGAGGAAAATGCAAGATATAGATTAACTGTTCGATTGACAGGATTTAAATCAACGGAATAATGAACGCGACATAATTTTTGATTGACACAGAGTATTGTCTGTTAACAAGACTACTCTACAACTGGAAAAATAACAAAGGATGAACATAAAATACAAACAGGTTTGTCGTTTTCCCTTCTCATAATCGATAAAAAATTTAGTTTTACACGAAAAAGTTTAACCTAGATAATATAAATATTTGAAGAAACAGTAATAAATAGTCGAAGCGACAAGAACATAATTTGCAGTATACAACATGCACATAATTATTTTGAAGAGAGGCTCCTTATCAGTTGCAGAGAACAAACAAAAATGCACAAAAGAGAGGGAGAGAGGATAATTATATGGAGAATTATGAGAACTTAATGAATCCAGAGGGTCACAAAGTGTAAATGCATCTGCATTATTCAAAAGGATTTTGATCCATTGGTTCTTAGCACCTCAAGGACCTCAACCAGGCAGTCCAAAGCTCCCTAAATGGCTTAAACTAACATTTAAAGAATTCATGAATTAATACCATGTCTCGGTCTTAGCATCTTGACTGTTTTAGAACCCAGTCCCAAGTCAGTAAATATTGGTCGTTGAGGTGGTTGATGGCTAGATACTAGAAAAACAGATCAACATCGGAATACCGGTTAGTAGTCTGAAAGAGTTGCTTTTAAGATGTACTATGAATGTACATTTCATATTTAACAACCTTTACTACAGGCAAATCGACGGTATTGCCATGGGTTCTCCGTTGGGGCCAATTTTAGCAGATTTCTTTCTTGCCAAGATTGAAAATGGTCCATTGAAAAAAGTAATAGAAAAAGCTGATTCTTATTTTCGTTATGTTGATGATACCTTTATTATTCTTGATGTGAAAGCTGACAAGAATGAAATGTTAAAAAAGTTTAACGATGCACATCCATCGCTTATCTTCACTTGTGAAGAAGAATATGATGGTGGACTACATTTTCTTGACGTCCAATTGAGCAGAAGAGAGGATGGTTCACTAAAGAGAGATGTCTATAGAAAACCTACATCTGTAGGACAATATACACATTTCCTCAGTTATGTACCAATCCGTTACAAAATCAATTTGGTCAGATGCCTGACGAATAGAGCAAGACGCATCTGTACAGATGACTCTCTAGAGAATGAGCTAGGATACATCCAAAATACGTTAGTCCAAATGGGTTATCCTAGTAGATTTGTCAGGAGACACATGAATGCGAAGTACAATAAAGAGAAACCGATAACAGTTAAAAAGAAACAACTGTTCATCAAACTGCAATTTAATGGGGACGTGGCTAGTGAAGTCTTACATCAGAGATTATCGAGAGCGATAAAACGGACTTATACTGCCGCCACCCTCTGTTTGTCATTTTCCAGCCGGCCAATTTTGATTGCTCAAGTGAAAGATAAGTTACCTAGTTGTGCCACTTCCATGTGTATCTATAAATTTAGTTGCTCCTGTGGAGAAAGCTATATAGGCCGAACAACTAGACAGCTTAACAAACGCATTAATGAGCATCTTCCTTCATGGTTCGGAAAAGGTCAAATAAAGTCCATACGAAGTTCTATTTTGGCTCATTTGATTGATAGTGGTCACCAAGTGGACAAAAATAGTGCTTTCAAAGTTATTTACCGCATTCCATCAAGTCTTTCGAACGGAATCAGAACCCGTCTTTTACACTTAGCCGAAGCTATGGGAATTCGAGAGAACAATCCTAGTCTTTGTATACAAAAGAAATTTGTTCTACCTTTGTCTCTCCCTTGGCCTAGGTGAATTCTATTCAAAACCCTCCCACCCTTTCTTATCATCCCTCTCCTTCGTACTTTTATGATATTTATTTAAACTCTGATTATCGTTCCATTTGATTTGACCTAATTTATTTATTTATTGAATTGTCTACATATATGCATATACTAACTTTGTTATTCTTATCACCTATATAAGCCTTATTAACAATATTTTGTTATTATTATAATCATCGTTATTAACTTCGTTCAAAACATTTACCACATTATTATTACTATTATTATTATTATTATTATTATTATTATTATTACTATTATTATTTGATCCACTAAATCACCGTCATTGGTTAAAATTTTATATATATAAGTCTATGTAAATTAGAGTAAAGCCTGAAGAAGATCTAATTGAAAACAATATTGTTCGCTTATATGTCTTGTTCTAATATTATAAATGGGAATATTTAGTGATTAGAAGTAACGAATATCGTAGCCATCTCTATAGGTGAAGACTCAACACACCGGTATTGAGTCCCGTACCGATTTTCCTTCACTTACTAGAGCTGCACGACGGACTCCACCATGTGTTACAACTTATGATACCAATTGACTGTCAAAAATGAAGCAGATAAAATGGCGTTTAAATGTCAAATCAAGCGGTTAAAAGTCCAACTTGAAAGTTACCACAAGATGTATAACTGGTGGGACATCCTTTCCATTTTCTCATAAAGGATACTGAATGTTTAATAGGATCAGTATTCCGTCGTATTTCAAGTCGAGCATAGAACTTTAGCATCGCATCAAGATTTCACCTTATTTTCTTCCGTCTTTTCTAAATGGCTCAATAATTGCCTATAAGTTTTCACCTCCCCCAAAGATGATCTCCATGTCACCAACGCTTCATTTCCATTAGGGTTCCGCTCGATGGCATGACGCGTGATGTCAGTACAAACGGTGTCTTCAGACTTTGTCCACTTCATTTGTATTTCGAGCGACAGTTGTTTTGTTTTGATAAAGTCTCACAGTGTTATACAGTAATGTTTACTGATGACGTTTCGAGCACAATTTATTGCTCATAATCATATCAAGGTAATCACACGACTTCCTAAATTCATTTATATAGTTCCATTGTTTTTCTCTTGATTTTCACTTGATTTGATTGGCAATAGTATTTTCCATATTTCAGGTATGAGTGACGAGTCATTCCTATTGCATGTGTTGGGTGTAGACTCGATGAACAAGGATTCAGTAATCAACCTCTCTCTCTATCTCCACCTACCTAGATTACTTTTTAGAATTTTAATCCTCTCCCACCCTATTGTGTGGTTGTGTGTTAGCGCATGCATTGCAATTGCTGAGCTTTTTTCTAAATTACTTAACTTCTCGGGGTCAACCATTCTTACCTTAGCTAAATTTAATTTAATTTATATTTAATTATATTATTTATAATAATATTATTTAATTATTTAACTTGACCTAAGTCTATTTAATTTAAATTTAATTTAATAGCTAACGTCATCAGTAAACATTACTGTATAACACTGTGAGACTTTATCAAAACAAAATTTACCCATAATGGAATTACACTCTACCATAGTGCACAAGTTTTATTCTTATATCAATGACAGTTGTTTTGGTTGGTTCGTTGCACTGCACGACTTCAACTGTTGCTCATCGTTTCTTACTAATCACCAGCTAGCGTCTTCAGTATCAAGCAAAAACAATTGTGAATGAAAGTCGGCAGACTGTTAGAAATGCTTCTAGGGACCATTTAAAGAAGAACTATTTTAACATTAGTGCTGGAAACCCGAATTTTATTCCATTTACTTGGGAGCATCAGATTCTCAGATTGATTTCAAAGCCTCTTCTACCGATATGTCAGGTTTTCACGCCACTGTATCTTCGATAAGAGTTTATTTTGATTAATCACACAGTGTTCGTTGTACAGTAATATTAACTAATGACAACGTTTCGAGGCCAATCTATTGCCACTCATAATCATATCAAGTCACTACTCACACAACTTTTTTCCTTCATTTATATACATGTGTGGAATCGATTAGATATTTGAATAAAAATCAACATAAGATAATGTACATTCAGAAATAATAGTACGAGTGTTGTTGATCAGTTACAACTAGATGGGAAGTAAGACGAGTGTTTTTATATAGTCATAATAAGTTGTTTGTTAGAATGTTGTGATGTGCTTGAATTGAAATAAAATTTTAAGGTTATTTATTATCCTCTTCTGATTTGACTTGAGGTAATAATATCTTCCATATTTCTGTTATTTGCATTGAGTCATTTCTGTTGCATGTGTAGACTCGATGAACCAGGATTCCGTAATCAACCTATTCCATTCTTCACCTACCTATATTACTTTTTAGAACTTTAACCCTCTCCCACCATGCTATTGTGTGGTCGTGTGTTAATGCGTGAAGTGCAATTGCTGAGCTTTTTTCTGGATTACTTATCTTTTCGGGGTCAAGCATTCTTCCCTTAGCTAAATTCTTACGTTCTGACAATCTGACTACCCTGTGACCTACTAGTTTGACCTATGTAGTTGACGTCAACATTCTAACAAGTTACTTATTACTGATGACTATAAAAACACTCGTCTTATTTCCCATCTAATTGTATTTCATCAATAACACTCGTATTATTATTTATGAATGATAATTATCTCATTATTATTTATTATTATTATTATTGTATCCTTTAGTTCCTAGAGGAACATAGGGCTTCAGCTGCGCACCTCCATTGACTTCGGTTTTCTGACAACTTTTTCACCCCGCTCCAGGTCTGTCCACATGCTTTCATCTCCTCCTCGCATGACCTCCTCCAAGTCACCCTTGGACACCAACGCCCCCCCTTTGGGTTCCGGGGTTTTGTTGTGGTTTCCCGGCCAACCCCCTTTTTTCCCTTTTTTTAAAGGTTCCTTTGGTTCCCCCCTGTTGTTTTTTGGCCGGCCTAATTTATTTGAGGGTTTTAAGAAGGTTTGAATTTTTTGTTTTTACCCAATCCTAGACTTTTGGGTTAAAACCGGTTTTTTTTGTGTTTGTGTTCCCCTTTATAAAAATTTTTTTTTCCTTGGTTTCCTTCCCCTTTTCCGGGGGAAGGGGTTTTTTTTGGTTCTTCCCTTTTTTTTGTGGTGTTGGTGTTGTTGTGTTGGAGGAATCTTATTTTTTTTTTGAATCCTTTTGTCTTCTTCCCAATTTTTTTTTTTCTTCCTTTGGGAAAATCCGGAAACCTCCCCAATTTTTCCTTTTCCTTTCCCTGTTGGTTGCCGTTGATTCCAAAATTAAAGGAAATTTGGTTAGATTTTTTATTCCAATGCCTAATCGATCCCACACATGTATATAAATGAAGGAAAAATGTTGTGTGAGTAGTGACTTGATATGATTATGAGTGGCAATAGTTTGTGCTCGAAACGTCATCAGCAAATATTACTGTACAACACTGTGTGTGATTTACCAAAATAGGCTCTTAACCACAGTGCCCAATTTTTATACTTAGATCAATAATTGTATCTTCAAATTTGTGCAACATTCAACATGAATCATTCGAGAGGTCTTCTAGAGTTTTCTTGCCCACCCCCCTATAGTCACTTACATGATGCCTTACCTCGGTATTCACTTTAAAAACTTTTTTGAGCTTTCTATTCTGAATCACTTAACATGAGGTATCATCATATAGCAGTTGAATGAGGCTGGCGGTATTCTGTAGTGTGAAAGCAGTTTCCAAATTACTCCACAGTCAACAGTCAGCTGCATTGAAGGCCTTTTTCATCATCAATGATGTTGATAAAATTGACGCAGAAAGTGGACTAGACTAGCATTCTATGCTCTATTCAATGACCATGAGCGCGTAGCACTCTGCATCTAATGTTTTTACAGCTAAACAACATAATCATTGAAATTTAAAAATAAAATAAAAAAAGAAATTAAAGATTAAAAAAAAAAGAAATATCACTTACAACTCTATCCAATGATCCATGATAATCTGATGTATTTAATTTTGAATCCACAGGCAATAAACCAATGAAACGATTACGAAATTCTTTCAGTGATAAACGATCAGGATAGCTTAGTTTAACCGATTGCAGTGTACTAATTAATTCTATACCACGAATTTGTGAACGTATTAAATTCACACAGATACGTGCTGGACTAAATACTAAATTTTTATTCGGGTAGCGTTTCATTAATTCATGTAAATATGAAGTGGATTTATTGTGATGCATTTCATTGAGCATATGATTACTATCCGTATGATTATCACTGTTATTATTATTATTATGAGTAGTACTCGTAGTAGTACTAGTGGTATAGTCTTCAGAAGAAGAATTCTTAAGAATTAATTGATCAATTGGAATCTCTTCATTCAATTGACATAGCCCAGCAGTGGATACAGGTAAGAAACAATGAATCCAATGCATACCACTCGGTGGACCACCATCATTAAATCCTGATCCAGGATCATTAGGATTATATGAAGCATTATGAGCAGCACAATCATACAGGGAACGAATCAAGGTATCCTGGACAAAAGGTTTTTATTAAAAAAAAGAGGAGGATAAATGTAAAACAATCAACTTTTTCAAGTGTTGGTTTGTAGGGATTTGATCGGTTTCAGGTATTCCTCATGAGCTGACCTGGGAGTACTGGAAAGCTGTTTCGTCAGCCTAGTTTGGGACTCTTCACCAGCACGCACCCGCCAACAGGAGGTTCGAACCCAGGACCTTGCGGTTACAAGGCGAGCTCGTATACCATTAAGCCACTGGGGCCCGATCCAATGGCTAGTCCATGAATTCTAACTTCTGCGAATTCACGACATAGCGCAACCCCTAGCCAATATCTTCGGTGAGTATTTGTCCTCACACCCGACCAATCAACTTTTTTCTTAAAATGACTGACTAAGTTTTAACATAGAACTTTGCATAAAAGTGAGCCAGTTCAAAATGGTCAAAATAAGAGATTCAAAAGAATTATGATGAGGAGAAATTTACAGAGCATTTTAACGGATACAAGAGAAATCCAGCCATTAGTCCTTAGCATCCTGACGTATATAGTTCAGTGACAGAACATCTGGTCAATTCAGAACGTTCAGTGCCATTAGAAAAATCCTTCAAAATAATACACAAGATTCAATGAAACCTATCAGAGGGAGTAAAATTAAGACATCTGGGCACAGTCAGGGCCCTACCTATCCAAAAGCTCAAATCCAAACCATGTATCTAAAAGAAACACGTCTAACCCCTGTCCCTACCATGGCCATCAGAAATAGGTAATTCTTTTATTAGTAACCATTCCATTGCTTTTCTTATCCAAACTTCCTGTTTATTCATGTTATTTTAAGTTTTTCTTAATCCTTATTTACACTACCACACCTTCATATCCGAACTTCCTGTCTATTCTGTCATTTTATTATTTCTACATATTTGAACCCTAACTACATAAACAATTATTCGTCCCATTAGTTATGATCACACTAGATTTTTATCCAAACCATCCTGTCCATTTTTGTTATTTCTACATTTCTAATCCCCAAATGCACAATATGTAATTATGATGCTACTTTGCCTGAGCGTTATTCGTCCCCCTGTTTATTATAGCATTTTAATTCCTAATTGTAATTCTTATTAATTTGACCCTTGACCAGAAATCATTCTGGAACTTTCCTACCCATTTATCATTAATACACGAATGTACAGCTGTCTAGTTGATAACTTCGTCGAAAAGAAAATTTTCTTCGCTACAACCGTCTTTTTAATAATTCCTATGATCCAATGTGCATATTCCGTGATCCTCAGGACCCCAACCAAACAGTCTACACCTTCTTATGTAACTCGTGCTTAAAACAACGGTTAGAGACTTCATGGATCGATGTTAGGTTTTGGTTTGATTGCCCTCTTCGTAACTCTTTTCCAACCTAATCCTATATTATCTAATATTACTCGTCACCGAAAACGATGGACTGACATACACACCACGTACCGTAGCCTATTTTTATTAGTGCAGCTTCATCGATCGGTTTACTCTTCTTATACCTAGCACTCTACACCTAATACAAATTTTTTATTCCTTCATGTTCCCCAGCGGAACATAGGGCTTAAAGCTACAGGCTTGAAGTTTCTGTAGCAGTGTTTATTTTTACAGGATGGGGTTGCTATAGCCTCATGTCCAACCTTTCCTCTTTACCAGCTTTACTTCTGGCATAGTGAGGTAAAGGAGCGAGTGGGTCGGCCGGGGATAGAACACCATACCATGTGCATGGTCGGCGAGCGTCCTAACCACTATGCTACCGACGCAACACAAATATTGCCATTTAACAAGTAAGATGGAACATAAATATATGTGGTCAAAGACAGCCAACCTTTTCATATTTTCCACTTTCAAGAGCTGTCTCACAGAGATAAAGGAGATACTGATGGTCAAACGAAAACATGACTTCATCAGTCAATGAAATCCACAACAGTTAGTTTAAGCCAGCCACGTAGGAAGGTGTAGACTACCTGGTTGGGATCCTCGGGATGTTGAAAACCAATGACAGCTGGACACAACTGGTGATATGGCTCGAAATTGTTCTCAATGATGACACAGATGCATTCACTCTCTGTGATTTACAATATCCAATAAAGTTCTATTGTTCTTCCATATTACTATTCTTTCTGCCTCATATTTCTGTTTATTATCTCTATTTTGAATCTGTCTTTCCTCTCTTCTCTCGCCTGGAGTGCTACATGGAGGGTGGTGACTCGAACTGCTGCACATCTGTGCAAAGTTCTACGTTGAAACCAGTCGATCAGTCAGTCAGTCAGTCATAAAGGAGGACAGAACGAACTTCTTTTGATTCTTTTAAATTGAATCAAAAATATTTGTGGTTCGATATACACATATATGAAAGTGACTTTTCCACCTTCAAGTCTCTTTTGATTTGATACACATACATAGTTGTGAGTTCACTGTGACCATAAATGTTGTATCGATGGTGAACAGAATGTTAGGAAGCAGTAAACTATTTGATTGAATTAAGTGTTACTTGGGTTTTAAGCATAACACTGAAAGATTATTTAAAAACATTTTTAAATAATAATAATAATCATTTGCTTTATTCCAAAACAGTACTTGTGATACAGAATGGAATTCTCAGCATTTTACTATAGTATTGCATCCAGTTATTAAATTAACAATAAAATAAAATTCTACATAGATTAAGGAAATCTCAGTTCATTATGACAACAACTTGTTAGCATATCGGTAGCAAAGCCAAAATTGAACAGAGTGTTTGAAGGTGTTAGAAAAGTAGATGCTAGCATATTTACTGGCGTAAGCAGAAGAAAGAAACAAAGCAGCACATAACAGAAGAAAAAGAGAGAGAAAAGGAAAAGAGATCAAGAAAACGTTGTACCTATAAATGATATGAGGAGTTGGAAAGACGAGATCCAGTTGTTCTACTGACTATTAAATAAGTTATAGGTATCCACGCCTAATGCTTTCTTTATCGCACAGAACACGAGCTAAGTAGGGTATGGTTGAGCTTTTGTAATTGTTAGTGCGAGCATATAGTTTTCTATATAGACTTCTGGTCCTGCCTGATGAAATACAAGGGGAGAGTTGTGAATGAAGAGGGTGGTGTGAGTTAGATAAAATGGATTTAGCCCATTTATTACTCAACCACCATGCTAGTATAAAATGAGAGAGTTTCATGCCGCTGTGGAGAAGTAATAACGTGTGACTAGTAAATTTTCTTGGAAAAAGAAATTCAAGTAACAAAGATAAGCAATTGAAAGACGTGAACAGATCACTCATTCATTCACTCATTTCAGCGGTATGATGTTTAACTAAATGAAACATTGCAAAACCCACTCAGACAATATGCTAAATACTGAGGGTATAATGTTCACAGAATATATCGCTTCTACCAAGATGCTAATATGTTGTTGTCATAATGAACTGAGATTACCCATATTCTATGTAGAATTTTATTTATTGATAATGTACTAACTGGATGCAATACTGTAGTAAAATGCTGAGAATTCCATTCTGTATCACAAGCACTGTTTTGGAATAAAGCAAATTATTATTATTATTATTAAAGGTTATATATATGTTATATGTATATATGTATTATTTCAAGCAGGTTATTGTATACAATTCTTATTTTGTTAACTTATATCTTATACCATTACGTTCTAAGCGAAAGATAGGTTTTCAGGCTTTCAACTTCTGAAGTTCTCCTAGCAGCAGTGTTAATTTTATCACGGAAAAAGGTAGCTAACCTGACGTTCAACCTTCCCGCTTTCGCCGTCTTATTACTGGTTAATCGGGATCTAGGAGTGCGTCGGCCAAGGATTGGACCCTAGGCCACATGCATGAATGGCAAGTATTCTACCCCTGAACCACCGATGCACATTGTTGACATACTAGCCACTGAAAGACGTCCAAGAGTAACACGCTCTGACTTGACACATTCGAAGGTGAAATTCAAAGTGAAAAAAATGTGTCCATATCATGCCCTTAACAAGATGTCCAATTTATTCACAACACCAAGCACGGACATAAACATACTACTTGAAATCATAAGTTTATAGGAACTGCCGAAAGTGCGTGAAATAAAATGGTACAAAATGGAAAGCATAAAAGAGACGGTTGAAGTGAGACAAGCTCTTCTGTTATTTCCGAAAAATGATTACATACTTTATTTGAAGTTTGATCATGGATCGAAATCAGTTAGAGAAGCAGTAAAAATCAGAGGACAGTAATGGACACCTGTTTTGTCCTAGTTTGGAACTCTTCATCAGCACACACTCATGACCACGCCGAGGATCTAACATAAGGACCTCGCCGACAACACTGGATGGTGGTCGCACTAAAATCACGGATTGGTATAAGTTAGAATTCATGGGCTGGCCATTGAGTCGGAGAAGCCCAGTGGCTGAATGATCTACGAGCTCACCTTGTAACTGGAAGGTCCTGGATCCGACCCCTGTTGGGCTCATCGGGGCATACTACTGATGACTTCCAAACTAGGACAAAACAGTTGTTTGATAGCACTCCCTGGCTGTTTCCAATGGTTCTCTAACTGACATCAATCCGTAGTCAAAATTGAAACAGAATTATTTAACAAAAATATGTTTATTGATAGAACTAGGTATCAGTATATGAGTTACATGTGAGAGCTGATGGTACTATCCACTAGTATCTCAAGGATTCGAACTCGGAACCTATTAGCTGACAGTCAAGTGTAAAAGCTAATGAATACATAAATAAATCAGTATAAACTAGTACTTGTTAATAAAGATATTTAGAAGAAAGCCAATTACAAGAGTATAAATAACATCAATGCATACAACAACGTAACGGTAGATAAACTCACCATGGTTGATTTCACATCTGAACAAACACCAATATGACTTCGATTCGATGGTATGAAAGAGCTTAAATAATCTTCTTTACAATCTAACATACTGACAAGATTACGCAGAGACGGACTAGGTGAAATGACCGAAAAAAGAAAGAAAGAAGATATAAAACCGAGGGGTAATCAAAAGACAGACAAACAGAAAGATAGGCGTTAAATACACACAGTTACACAACAAAATGGACGAATCCAATCATAGTCACTAGAGCATCAGCTTCACTAGCATAGCATCTAAAATCCTACAGTCTATAGTCATACTAAGCAAGACTAAGTACATCTCAAGAGGGAATCAGAAGGGCCTCATACCCTCACAAAGTCATACTGATTAAAAGCTTTAGCTTCAAATGAGTTTTGGGAGACACGCACACACACAAGTTCCACTGCATTCTAAGCTTGAAGTATTTCTTTACATGAAGGTGGAATTTGCCTGCAATGGAGTGAAAGGTGTGTTGTGGGAATATTTAAGGTTTAAAGCAGCTGTCGAGAAAGTCCAGTATACTAATCATACTAATGTTTTATCCGAACTTCATGTCAACGTTTGACAACATAAAGACCTCTGATATTTTGTTCCACTTTGATGACATTCGTAAGAACAAAGAATAAAGTGATTTGATACATTAACCAATCTGTTTATTTCATGAGCTTTGATGAAATCTCAGTAAATTTTATATCAGAGAAGCTTATTTGATTCAACACACAGTCATGCAATATTAATAACTGAATCCAGATATTAATACTGCATCCTGTTCGTCGAATTTTCTCAAGCTTACTGTCAGTCTAGAAGTGGACCAGTCAGGAGTCGGAAACGGACTGGCAAGTATTCTACTATCGAACCACTGACACGTGAAGGTCACCGAGATTGAAAATGAAAAGCATACAGCTTCCTAATAACATTCACACACCTTATAAGTTTTATTAGTCTAAACTGATGCTGTTTATGGCATATTCCACCACACAATTCAACATACAACCAGCAGTTCACGAGTTTAAATCCCGCTCTGTCTAACAATGGCTGGGCAACCCGGCATATGACTCATTTTCAAAAGTTAGCCTGTAGAGATTGGATTAGTTTCAAGTTAGAAAACTGGTGAAAACTATAGAGCCCTGGACAGTTGTTTTTTCCCAAGTTTGGGACACTTGGCAGTACACAACCACTATCCCAACGGAATCAAATCCAAAGCCTTCAAGGTGAGATGTGAGCCTACTGACCATTCCAGCCAGCGGATTTAATCCAATGGCCCAATAATTCAACATTCTATCAATTCGTGATATATACCTTCAATACTAATCAATGTTATCGGAGAGTATTTGTCTTCACACGCGACCTGAAGGATCCCCCACTGGTCAAGACTTCTTGCTAGAACTCCAGTCAAAGTTGTCCTGAAAGTTAATTTTCAAACGTTATTCAGTAGGAGGTTGATTTATTTCAAGTTTGATATCAGTTAGAGAAGTAACGAAAGCCTCCAAGGAATACTGGACGGCTGTTTCGTCTTACTTTGTGACTTTTTAATAAAACACAAATCATGACTTATTGTTATGCGATTGTTGAATAGTGTTTCACTTCGCCTGACTGCAATATAAAATTATGGTTCGTATTACACAACATAACAGCTAATCTACTCTTCATTCATAATGGCAGTGAAGGTGATATGTGTATGCATCGTGAAATCGATATTCACATAGAAAATATACAAGACAAAAATTACTGAGTAAATATGCTGGTATTTCCTCAACTCTCTGATTATTGTTCATGCTTTTTATCACTTGCATACACGCACGCACACACACACACACACACACAAATAAAACATATAGAGTGAAATCGAGTGACTTAGCAAACACTACTTAAATATTATTATTATTATTTGATGAAAAGCAAAGCCTCCGATATAGGAGGAGAGTCATAAAAATTGTTAGCAAGGTATGAGAAAAATAAATGCATACACACATGTATATATGTAGACAGGCACACACAAATCAACTGCTGATTTTCTAAATTGTAGATTACACAACAAGTAAACCAGATTAATGCAATAAATCGTGCATGCATCCTCTTGTTGGAACGCCGAAATCATTTAAGGACGCTGATGATAAATGCTTGCTTGAACTCCATTACCCGGAACAGAATTTTCATGTACCAGGCTTTAAGCTTTACACTCATTGTGTGAGGGCTGATGATACTATTATCCAGTTGTCCTCAGTGTGAATAAGGCAGAGCGAGGCTCGAACTTGTGACCCATCAACTGAAAACACCGGGTGCTTAGGTCAATAAGTCATGACTAATAATAATGATTCAGGCTTTAAGCGCCGAATAACTTCCACCGAAGTAACTCATGAACATTTACTTTAGATCGATATTTATCGATGACACTAGCCAAGTGACCAGTAAGCCGGAAAAAATGATGCTGATGGGTTGATATCAGACCTAAGAATTCCTATAGAGTTAAAACATTAACAGAAACTATCAAGTCCACAAAATCATAAGGCGCTGACATGATCGAATGATTGGATGAAAATGATCTTTGTTGAATTACCAGTTGGACTAATTTGATCGAAGTCATAAGTGAAAGTCAATAATATTTTAGAAGAAATAGCAGAAAATTCTGAAGTTATTTTGTATCTCCCATTGATATTTACTGAACCAAAATACTATAACACAGTTGCCATGCCAGTACCTCCTAAGGGACACCTCAACGAAGTTTGAAGGCTTTTTTTATTCTCTTGAGATCCCAGCGGAACATAGGACTTGAAACTAGGGCGTTGAAGTTTCGGCATCAGTGATTTTATTTTCACGGGGTGGGACTGGTAGTTTCATGCCCAACCTTCCCTCTTTGCCAGGCTTATTACCAACTAAGCGATGTTTGGGAGTGCGTTGGCCGGCAATCGAACACCAGACCACATGTGTGTCTGGCGAGTATTCTACGTCTGCGCCACCGACGCAGAAGGCAAGTTAATATAATCATATTTGATTGATGGTGGCTAGCTGTAGAATACAGGAGGCAGGCTTCAACTAGTCTTCAGCACCTCAGATAGATCAGTTTAGATCTCCCCCACTGAAATTTGAAACCAGAATCCATCATTTTAAAAGCCTAAGCACTGATAGACGCGACAACTCTAACTAGGAATGCAGGCACATCTAGCCAATGATTCCGAGATAAGTCAAAATGCGCAACCTGAATTCCATTGCTACCCAACAATCAACCAAAAACGATGTTAAAATTCAATTAAAATTCCAATATTTTAGTATTTTGTTTAAAGAATAGCAGGTATGCATTAATCCACTTTGTGGGAGATGTTTATGTTTAATGTCACACAAATTCGAAGATCGACAGGCAAAAATCGTTAGGCATAGGTCCAATAGTAACATGAAGGAGTTCGTATGAAGAATAAATAGAAGCTTATTGACAGTTGTAGAGAGCTTGCGACAAAAGGGCCTTTAGAGAATCCAGTGAAATCGAAATGAGTTGTTGAAGCCCAATATATGCCACTCAGAACGCAAAGGAGTAGTAGTAAAACAGTAAGTATCCTTACGAATGCACGAGAAAAGCAATCAGACTGTCAGTATACTAACCTACGTAATAATCTTGTAGCCTTATAGTCTATTTCATTAACCCTGAAACAAGAGAAGGTTGTATGTCTAGGAGACTAGCACTGGCACCACTCTGTAGAAAAAAAAACAACACCCGCATTGCTTAGCAACACTTCTTACATCACGATTTATCATGTTTCATAATATCAAGAAATATATATATAATAATAATAACAATGCGACCATACTGGTATTTCAGCATCTTTGTGCTTGCGAAAGTAAACCATGTGTAGTGTTGTGTCATGCATAGATAGACAGACAGACACCGAACACAAACAAACGAATAGACGAAAGCACCCACATGTACATAGATAAGCATGTAGACAGACAAAAATGATTGATTTAATGATTATTTTAGTAGAACAGGTCAAATAAAACATCTCAACATGTTAGAAATAGAATACCTATCTATAACATTTTGTAGATATAGAACTCATGTATATTTTTATAAGTGGAAATTAGTCATAATAGACTTTTTTTCTCTCATTATGATACTTAATTGGATGTAAATTCGATATAGTACGGTGGTATATACTACTTATTGGTCGATATAAATAGATGGAAAACACACTAATGTTAAACGGCAGTATCTACCAGCCAGATAAAAATGATTAAAGAATAGATAAAGTCTGTTTCTCCCGATTGAGACCAGACTAAGCAGGGGAGGATTAGATTCTTTATACATTCGATTTCTGTATCAAGTATCAGAGATTATCTTTAAGCAACATGTTCACAGTTGAGTATTTCACAATTAGCTATTATCATTATTATTATTATTCCTTTACACCCTGAGTGGAACACAGGACTACAGTCAGAGTACATCCACATTTCGCCCTGTTCCAAACAGTCTTTTCTAGCTGGCCTATGAGATTACATCTCCTCCTCCTCCTCCTCATGCGATCAAATCCATGTCACTACCGTCATTTCGCATTCAGGTTCCACTCGACAGCCTGGTAAGTGACACCACTTAACGATCTCCTCAGCATTTGTCTAATTCATCTCCATTTACTTCTGCATGCAGCTTGACCGATAGCTTATTCGTTGGTTTGTTACTAGATTTCTATCTAGTTAACCGTTTTTACCCATCTGAAACATAAAAAAGTACTGACGTCGCATTAGTCTTAAAAATCAGAATTTTCTTCCATACTGCTAAGTGCAGAGGATTTCCATCCTGCTCCCAGATTACTGAATAACTGTTTCGCTTTTCTCATCCTACCTTTGATATTACTCATTCATGATGGCAACTGTGATTAAAACGATGATGGCTGTATAAGTGACCTCCTTCAAATTTATCCTGTTGGTGATGACTAGTGCTTGTTGTTGTTGTTGTTCATTAGGTATGTTCATCTTAACGTCTTGCCTTCGTTGTCTGTGTGGTGAGAGCTGGCTGTTAGCCAAAATTTGTAGACAGTAATTTACGTCAATGTTTACGTCCCCAATATTGGTCATGAGAAAAATAAGAACGAAGACTGACTCAACAATCAATCCCAACAAACTTTGCGTAGGCGGATACAATTTGCAGATAAATAATCTGAACTTCACTAAACGGCCACAAAGAGACGAAAGATAAACGTTCAGCGAGAAACCACCAATCAGAAGACTGTGTTTGTTTGCTTACAATAATCTATAACAATGTACATGAAAATCTTTAAATATCTGTTGAATTCCTAAATAAACGATCTGTTGCCTGACCCTTGTCTTCTGTTGTTACACTTGCCTCTTCTCCAAACTTGTTGGTTTTCCCCCTTAAATTATTCAGTTTGTGTGATAGATATAAACCCAGACCTTTTAGAGGCTTCTTTTCAATACAACATACTCCTGTCTTCTCGTTCCCCATAGTCCACAGAATGATCAAGTCCACCATAATCAAGGATATCATCGGTAATAGTAGGCTAACAGTCTTGTCTTACTCCTTCCTCCACTTCAAAAGTCTCAGTGGGCATCATCATTAAACTGATGAATGAGACTGTGATAAGGGTTTGAGGAATTCCATGGGGCTGTAGCATTTTCTTTTCAAATTCCTTACAATTAGTTATATACACACACATACATACACAAAATTTCAACAAAATAATTTTATACGTTCTACAACAACAATAAAGAAAAACAAAAGTACTGAAGTAAATATTATATTACTCACAGCGGGGATTGTCCTAATAAATAGATCAGCTTTCTACGACAATTCGATCGATGATAAGGTGCAAACCAATTGTGTGCTGGTGTATATTGAATAGGCGTTGTAGACAAGTTATGATTTAACACAAAGGATGATTCAGCACGCTTAAACCGACGAATAATACGTAAGTCTAAAAGGCAACAATTGATAAAAATGTTTAAAATTAATCACAGACACCGAGAGAAAGAGATTTGGTGCCTACCAGCGGCACTAGTCATCCAAAAACTCAAACCCAAGCTATGTATCCAAAAGAAATACATCCAACCCTTGTCCGTGCCATGTCCATCATAAACACATAATTCTTGTAATGGAATAATAAATGATTAACTGTCTTTCTGTCTTTGTTAAATAACATTCTACAGAATGGCAAAGCATATCTAATCGCTGAGGGAAGAGTAATTGTTAGGGTGGACCTTAAAGCCATTCGTTTAAAAGTGCATATAGCTAATAATGTTAGAATATTGCTCACTATGCATTCTACTAGCCACAATAAACACCAAATGATATTTAAAGCAATTAATTGCCTTTATGAATTTCGACAACATAATAAGAAGACAGAAATATTGAGTCAAAAAATATTTACTTTTCAACTAGATCCTCATCTTTCTGTTGCTCTACTCTAATATACACGTTTAGCATTTTTATTACAATACACAACGGTTTACCAATCAAGTGGCAATGTGTTGTCTCTTCACAACCCCCCCCCCCCTATTCTACGTTCGAGAAATAAGGATAAACTACCTTAAATTTGCCTCTTCTATGTGTATCTACCAGTTTGACTGCAGCTGCGGAGCCAGTTACATTGGGCGTACAATTAGACAGGTTCATCATCGTATTTCCGAACATCATCCAACATGGTTGAGCAAGGGACAAACAAGATCTATCCGTAGCTCTATTTTAGCACACCTTGTAGACAGTGTGCATAAGGTAGATGTTAATACTGCATTTAAAATTATTTATCGCATTCCTACTAATTTTAATTTCGCTCTACGAGTTCATCTTCCACATACAGCTGAAGCAGTAGAAATCCACCTGAAGAAGTCAAACCTGTGTTTCCTTACCGTGGTCATCGTTACATGAATGCATAAACCGGACTACTTCGACCCCCCCCCTCCCCGTAAATCTTTAAAATTATAAAAATTACAATTGTCCAAATTATTTTTTCTAACAACTTCATCTTTAATTACGTGTTATCCCTGTAAAATTAATTTATTCTAACCATTTCTACCTTTTTGATTTACTTCGTTTATTATCAACCCATTGACATTTTGACACTCACTGACTAATTGTTGTTAACAAACATATCAGTGCCACTTGATTGGTAAACTGTTGTGTGTATTGTAATAAAAATGCTAAACGTGTATATTAGAGTAGAGCAACAGAAAGATGAGGATCTAATTGAAAAGTAAATATTTCTTCGCTCAATCTTTCTCTTTTCTAAGTGTCTAAATGGGGATTTTTTTCTATCCTAAGAGGACGCAGTTTATCTGAAACGTGTAATTGTATTTGTGCAACACATTTCGGACACTGTGATCACATGCATACTTGACATACACAGTTATATAGAAGGCAAGAAGGTATGCATCATTCCAATAGAGGTCAGGTTGTGTACGGGTCAAAGTCACAAATAATGGTAAGGGAAATGATGCAGAGATTTGGGTGAGAAAGAAACAAAACAAAAACAAAAAACTAACTGATGTCAGCTCATGATTAAATCCTCCATCCAATCAAACAGAATCCCTACAAAACCAATACTTGAAAATCAATCTGATGCTCACTAGTGACTGGCCCTATTCAGACGCAGTTAACCTGGGGTTCTAGTAGGAAGCCGTGACCAATAGGGTACAGCAGGTTGAAGATGAGGCAGTAACTCATCGAAGAAGACATTGCAAAGTGGTCGCGCTATGTCGTGAATTGGCATAAGTTAGAATTCAAGGACCATTGGATCGGGTCCCAGTGGCTCAATGGTCTACGAGCTCGCCTTGTAACCAGAAGGCCCTGGGTTCGAACCCTGTTGGTGGTTGGGTACTGATGAAGAGTCCCAAACCAAGAGGAAACAGCTGTCCAGTACTCCCAGGTTTTCCAGTGGTTCTCTAACTAATGTCAGCTCATGATTAAATCCTCCATGCAATCAAACAAAATCCCTACAAAACCAATACTTGACAATTCTATTTTATTTTCTATCTTAACGTTTGTCTCCAAGCCAAATAATACTTACATTACATAATTATCTAAACTTTATAAATCTAATGTACACACACACACACAAACAAATTTGTATATATATGCGATTGTACAGCTCAGTTAATGAATTCGCCGAAAACAGTCTCTTCGCTGAACGCCTTCTTTTCTTTTATATGATTTATTAAATACCACTGAGGAGATATAGTAGATTCCATTTTTTTCAAATACCGATTTCATAGTGAACGTTATGCTGGATTAGTAATATACTAATAGACTGAGATTTTCATATGGCTGGTTGATTGAAGTTGTAATGAATGACTTCCGGGGAGACAAAAAGTTTTACAAATTTAAAAAAAAACACTATTTATTGAAATAGATCATTTAAAAGTGTTTATTCTTAACAGACGCATAGTAAGCATGAAGGACTCTTGTTTTAAAATAAGATTTAATCAAGCACACACGTATTTTTGGTGAACTCTCATCAAACTTTACAATTACATTGTAAAATATCAGACATAAATATTTGATTTTGAAGAGTTTGATTTCTGAGGATTAGATTTGTTTTTATACAAGTTTGACCACGGATTGATGTCAGTCAGTGGACCATTGAAAACCAGTACTGGAGAGCTGTTACATCCTAGTTTGTGAATCATCGCCAGTTCTCACACACCCCCAGGTTTTGAACCCAAGACCTTCCGGTTACAATGAAAGCTGGCTCGTAAACCATTCAGCCACTGGACCCAATTGAATGGCCAACCCATGAATTATATAACTTCTACCAATTCGTGATTGTCATTCCTTGATCAAACACGAAAAAACTAATCTTACCCTAACAAACCAATTTCTGAAAATTAGTCTGATGCTTGTTAGTGAATTGCTAGAGGACAGAGTTTCCTGAAGTTCTAGTGATAAGTCATAACCAGTGATGTCCACCCAGTCAAGTGTGAGGATGGATGTCCCACCGATGACATTGGTTGGTGGTTGCGCTAAATCCCGAATTGGTAGGAGTTAGAATTCATGGTATAATTCATGGTGAACCCCATTAAACAAACTAATATAATTCACAAAATACCTTGTAATGACTGTGGGTTTATCTACATACGTTAGACTAGTAGATCGAGGGTAGTCACATTGTCGGAACATCTGAATTTAGCCAAGGTAAGAATGGTTGACCACACTCGGGAAGATAAGTAATTTAGAAAAAAGTTCAGCAATTACACTGCATACATTAACACACAATAGGGCGGGAGAGGGTTAAAATTCTAAGATGCAATATAAGTAGGTGGACAGAGAGATGATTACTGAATTCTGCCTGGTTCATCGAGCCTACACCCAACACAACACATGCAACAGAAATGACTCAATGCAAATCTCAAAAAATGGAAGATATTATTCCCACCAGTCAAATCAGAAGAGGATAATAAATAATCTCAAAATTCTATTTCAATTCATGTGCACCACAACATTCTAACAAGTCACTTATTATGACTATAAAAACACCTTATTTCCCATCTGATTGTAATTAATCAATAACACTCGTATTATTATTTCTGAATTTACATTATCCTATGCTGATTTTTATTTAAATATCTGGTCAATTCCACACATGTATATAAATGAAGGAAAAAGTTGTGTAAGTGACTAGATATGATTAAGAGCAATAGTTTGTGCTCCAACCGTCATCAGTTAATATTACTGTGTAACACTGTGTGTGACTTATCAAAATAAAATCTTATCCATAATGGAGTTATACTCTACCACAGTGCTCAAGTTTTTTACTTATATTAATAATAAATATAGTTTTCCTATTAGGAAGCTTATCAACAAATTCACACGAATTTGTCAAACAGAAGCACGATTCACAAACCATCGGACTTTTAACAGTTGTTTAAAAAATCATATAATTCCAAAATATTTACGTATACGTACTCCAATCACATCAAGATAAATCACATCAGCAGCCAAACATGTTAGTAGATTATGTCTAAGAGAAGAACTACATCGAATTACTGTGAAACTAAATAATATACGAAATGAAATTGAAAAACGCGAACACAAACTCAAAGGTATGGTCAACGAGAAAGATTGTGTAATTGTTGTTGAAACATTCAAAAAAGTTAGAGAATCAGCATTAAGAAAATCAAAAACCATACAAATCAAAAAATTCAACAAACTAATGGAAGAAAGAACAAATTGGCTGAATGGTATACGAGCTCGCTAGCCTTGTGACCGGAAGGTGATGGGTTCGAAACCTGGTGGTGGGTGCGTACTGCCTATGATTGCCAAACTAGGATGTAACATCTGTTCAGTACTCCAATACTCGTTTTCAATTGTTCTCTATCTGATATCAATCCGTGGTCAAACTCGTGTCAATAAATATTTGAAACAATGTGGACCAGTTGATTCAAATACAATCAAGGAATATGTCAGATTGCGAAGGGTATTAAACGTTGTCAGTAGTGCAAGGAGTATGCCACTAAGTCAGCTAGACACGTGAACTCATATCAGAAATGGTCTGAATCCACACTGCCTGACTGTCAACATCCACTGTGTATTTACAACTTGTCAGGTGGGCGGGCCAGAAACCTAATTGGCCACCGTTCTATGTAGTAGAGGAAATTTTCAGTGTGGAACATTAGACTTACTATGATATTAGCAAAATAATTGGCTCTTTTATCCTCTCCTATCTATAATTTATGGATACATCATTTCGATTATTTATAATTTCAGGTATTAATATTATCATCACTATTTTACGCTTTTGCGCATTTTTGACTATGGTTACTGCTAATATAAAAAAGCCACTATTATTATTGTTATAGAATTAAATATATTCGAGGAGAATGTAAGCAGAAGAATGATGATTATAATCAGCTGTGAAACTGAGAGCAAAATATGCAACCATAGCTGTTCATGACAACTGCCATGGGTTCGAACCCTCCACAC